ACACACACAAACACACAAAAAACACACAAAAACACAAACACACAAACACACAAACACACACACAAACACACAAACACACAAACACACAAACACACACACACACAAACACACAAACACACAAACACACAAGCACACAAGCACACAAACACACAAACACACAAACACACAAACACACAAACACACAAACACACAAACACACAAACACACAAACACACAAACACACAAACACACAAACACACAAACACACAAACACACAAACACACAAACACACAAACACACAAAAACACCAACACACAAACACACAAACACACAAACACACAAACACACAAACACACAAACACACAAACACACAAACACACAAACACACAAACACACAAACACACAAACACACAAACACACAATCACACAAACACACAATCACACAAACACACAAACACACAAACACACAAACACACAAACACACAACACACAAACACACAAACACACAAACACACAAACACACAAACACACAAACACACAAACACACAAACACACAAACACACAAACACACAAACACACAAACACACAAAACACACAAACACACAAACACACAAACACACAAACACACAAACACACAAACACACAAACACACAAACACACAAACACACAAACACACAAACACACAAACACACAAACACACAAACACACAAACACACAAACACACAAACACACAAACACACAAACACACAAACACACAAACACACAAACACACAAACCACACAAACACACACCACACACACAAACACACAAACCACACAAACACACAAACACACAAACACACAAACACACAAACACACAAACACACAAACACACAAACACACAAACACACAAACACACAAACACACAAACACACAAACACACAACCACACAACCACACAACCACACAACCACACAACACAACCACACAACCACACAACCACACAACCACACAACCACACAACCACACAACCACACAACCCACACAACCACACAACCACACAACCACACAACCACACAACCACACAACCACACAACCACACAACCACACAACCACACAACCACACAACCACACAACCACACAACCACACAACCACAACCACAACCACAACCACAGCCACAACCACAAATACAAACACAAACACAAACACACAGACACACAGACACACAGACACACAGACACACAGACACACAGACACACAGACACACAGACACACACACACACACACACACTGTGAAATATCTTATTCCCCAATGAAATGCGGAGTTCCAAGCCCCAACCCCTTTCCATCATCTCGGGTTCCTAATCATGCGGCCAAACAAAAACTTGTGCTACTCCGATGAGTGCTCCACATACCAAATCCTTGTGAGGGTGCCCTAGACTTATTTCTGGACTGTCAAATCTGTTTCCCTTCCAGGGCGTCTCAGCCTTTGCTCCTGGCACGGAAACCCACCCCCGTTTTTGCGTAGCCAGTTTCCGGCTCCCAAAAAAACCAGAATCTTTCGATGAGCACAAGACCCTTAAGGAACCTCTTCCTGGGGCGCGAAAGAAAAGAAACAAAAACAACAACCACCCTGTCCAAAAAAGAGGCAGATGTTCCTTTAACGCCCCTTCCTGAGCTCCACGTCAAAGGCCCTTAGTTTTTGGCCTTAGACATAGACCTTACTTTGGGTTTCTGCCTGGGAACAGCAACATACGGCTGTCTTTAACTTAAACATCACATCAACCCAAAGTCTAAAGAACTGAAGAGCGAAATGCCGCACCAATTTCTGGCTGAGACTATCCCCTAATTGGCCTTCATCTGCCCACTTGGATGTTTGATATCCATGTTTGACGGCAAGCAACTGAGGTCCCAAAGCCACAAAGTTTCCAAGTGAGACGCGACGTGGGCCATAACCGTGGTCAGGCACTCCGCCCGCAGCTCTCACTTTCGCCTTCCAAAGCGATCCCAGGTTTCCCGCAAAGAATCAAACGGTCTGAGCGAGCGAGCAATGTGGTTTTGATGGCGACCCAAACCCCCACGCCTGTGGAAGCTTCTTCGTCAAGTCCTGCAGGCCTCTCGCGCGCGTGAATTTTGTGCAATCGTCTCAACGGTCAAAGCGGGAGGGAGGGAGGGAGGGAGCCTGATGAGTCACATGTTGCGATGAATTTTCCCCGGTGAAGAGTGGGATCCTTCAAGCAAAAGCAGAGATGGTTGTAGTTTGAGCTTCTTCAAAGGTCTCGCCTGCTGGTCTTGATGGGGCCCTTGCCGAGGTGCCTCGAACTCCAAACTATGAAAGACCAGTTGAGCTGACTGCCCGGGCAAAGTTCGCCCGTTTTGGGCCACGAGCAGCCCAAAAAGGTGTTTGAACGAATTTCCAAGAGGTACCCTCGACTCCAAATAGCCACCTCTTCCATGATGTCTACCGCTGACTCGGAAACATCATGGTGCTATGGAAGGCCTGCTTTCAAAAATAGAACACACACACACAGACAATACACAAACGTTGAAACGGCGGATGTTTGAGGTAGGGGGCAAGCCACAAGAATGGGTACCACTAGGTGTGTCAGCAAGCAAATGCTGAACCAAAGGAAACCAATATGAATCTCCGGGTTCCTTGTAGCAATGGTCACAACTCATTGTTTTTACTGAACCCCTGACATCTGCAAAAACCTTGAGTGGCAAACTTGGATGTGTTCAACCTACTTTGAAGGCGATGCGCCAAACCGGGGTAGGGGGTGGTTGCTTCTCGCGCAACCCGGATTTTTGCCTACTAAGTTGAACATCCAATAAGAAAATCCTTAAGTAAAGTTTACTTCCTTCGTCATAAGGACGAGCTTGCTTTACCCCAAACCGGTGGAACCACCGGGCCACCTCTTTGTGGCAGCCACGCTGACCCTTTGTCAAAGTTTACCCCTAACACTAACCCCTTGTTCAAACTTGTTCCACTTTTGGTTCAATTTGCTTTTTGGTTTAGGCCAGAGTTCAAATACAGCACCATTTTTTCCGCCCAGCGCACCTGAAGCCGATCGCTCCCGGCCTTCGCCGGCCTTCTCCAGGGCATCGTCCACCAGCCCCTCCAAGGCATCCCCTGCGAGCGGCGAGAACCGCCGCTTTTTGGGTTGGTGCCCTGTTTGAGCTGTTGGAAATCCAAAGGTTCCATATTCACAAAATCCAGCCAAGCTTTAAGGGACAAAGACACATGTCATAACACAGCAATCTAAAAGTAGCGCAAAGTCTAGGGGTGTGTCATGCGCCTTTGGCACTTCGAGTTTATGCGGCCGAATTCTTGTCTCCCCTGGCTTTGGGGTTCCTGTACCATCCTGAACGTTACCCAAAGTGGTGGTTTCCTCTGGATAGGTCAACACTGGCAATATTTTACTTCTTCAAGACTTCCAGTGCCAGTCAGGGACTCCCGGCCTAGCTTCGCGCCGAGGGTGCCGGCGGTGAGGTTGGAGATCTCCATGCCCAGGGAGGCGCTCATGGTGCTGCCGATGGAGGCGCCCGTGGCGTTGCCCAGGGACGAAGACAGGACTTCCTCAGGTGATCTTCAGCGCCATCGGCAGAGCAAAAAACATCCGGGGGGGGGGGGGAAGAAAAAGTCGTGGCACCCTTGTTACGTGGTTGCCAGAAGGAAAAACAAAAGGCTGGCCTTTTTCCTTTGCTGGTTGCTCTTGGGAGACTTAAATCCTTTTGTCTACAGGCGGTCTCTGGCAGATGTGACACATATTCATTTGGACGTGTGCCGACCCGCAAGTCGTGGGTTTTTCTTGGTTCCCCCTTTCAAGGACACCCCCATTTGCTCTTTGGGGGCGTGTGCCCAGCCCGGGTGGTATTCCCAACAGCCCCGGTTTTCTTGAACCCTTCGGCCCCGGCCTCCAGCGGCGCCTCCAAGGCTTGGATCATGGGGCTGGAGATCACCTGGCCGATCCTCGGGCCGAATCGCGCCAACAAAAAAGGGGGCAACGGCCCCATCTGAATGTTCTCCAAATCATGTTCGCCAGTTGGAAGGGGTAAAACGAAGACAACGAAGGGGGTTTTGCACCCGACCTGTTCACATCCACAAAAGCAACCACTTTGAACAAAAACACACCCACACAGACACATACGCTGGGGGATAAAAAACCGACTCAAGGCCCAGTTCCGGGCCCCAAACAAGAAAGCCAAACATCGTTCCGAGGCACATCGCCCCGAGGCGCTCCCCCGCACTGTGGGCCGCCGCGTGGATCGCCTGATCCAGCTTCGGGGCGTTCCTCGGCAGGTTGCGGTCGCGGTGTCGCACCTGTCTCCGGTGCTCAAAAACAAACTTGAAAAAGTTGGTTGGAAGGAAACGAGGAGCCACCACCGACCAACTGTCGGGGGGCTTTGGTTAGCCACAGCAATGGATTCAATCCACAGCTATGGATTCAACTCACGAGTCTCCATCGCAGATGCCGTGTTTGTGTTGCTTTTTGCTTCCTTTTTTTTGTGTGGGGTTGAGGGGGGATGCTGGACATGCGCTCGTCGTCTGCTTGGCTCTTGGTGGGGTCCTCTGCTGGCCGACTGGCGCAGCTGGTGGGGGCAAAGCCGTAGGATGCAAACGCAAACGGCAAACTAAAATTCCAAGCCAAGAGACGAGGCAAACGTGCCCGAATGACATTTCTCATGGGCTTCAACAGAAAGTTCGGACACGACCAACAAACTCCCGGGATGTTGCGCGTTGGAAGACGGACCAACTACAACTTCCACGATCTGCAGTGTTCTGACCTAGGCGTCCTTTGGACAAACAAATGGAATCCAAGGGAACATCTGGTAAAATCACCTCTGATTTTCAGACAGCCCGCCCAACCGGAAAAAGAAGACTTGTTTTTTGGGGTGGCTGAATCGGCAGCGGCCTGACACCGGGGACGTTGGGGTCCAAGGCCCGCGCGCTGTGATGAGGCCGGCCAGCTTCTGCTCAATGGTCTTGGACACGTCCTATGCTTCCGTTGGTTCCAAAAGCGGGAAAAAACATATTCTGAACTGGTGCCTTCAAAATGTGAACCTTCAGGATGAGGGTCAATGGGAAACCTCCCCCTAACGCGGGACATCTTGAGCAGCTGGATCCGCACTTGGGAATCCTTCCGTGGAAAACACACGTCGCTTGACAACTTCGCCAACCTCCGCCCCGTGCAGCATCCTTTAGGGAGCTCCGACCCAGTTACTTGCCATGGGCGGGAGCCCCGAACACAATGAATTGTCATGGGGTTGAGAACCCAAACAGAAGCGTGAGACCAATGTGACCCAGGTTTTGCCTTCAACAAGCCCTTTTGGGAGATGTATGCAGGACACCCTTGAAGAATGGGAACAGAGAGGGGGCCCTTTGAAACTTCCCGAAGCCGTGCTGAAAACCCTCCTTGGGGCTTGTTCCCTCTCCCCTCTAAATATACGGAACCCGCTGGGTGGTTGGTCTGGTTTGTCTGTCCCTGGCTTTAAATGGGCGGCAGCTTGAACAACATCCATGGCCCCCTTTGCTCCTTGCAAGTGAGATAAAACATCCGACAATGTGAGAATGAGCAAGTTTCAAGGGCATTTTCGCGTGGGTGGTTTGGTGGAATGGTTACATCTGTGTATCTGTATCTCTCTATATATATATAAATATAAATATATTTTTTGTTTCTATCCTCCACACCTCCGAACAATGTACCCGACAATGGCCTTGAACCGCCCGAGGGCCCCAACAAGTTGGTTTTCCCGGCACCTCGAGTGCGTTGTTCAGAAACTGCTCGACCTGGTTCTCCAAGTCGGTGATGCCCTGGGCATCAAACGAAGTCAGTTCCCATTCAGCGAATGGAGAATCGCGTGTTGAGGAGAAACCAAACAAAAGCCACTCTCCAGCGCGGTTCCCCTGCCTTCTGGCGAGTGATTTGAAACATTTCTCCAAAGTCCAACCGTGTTTTGGTCGACCCAAAGACTCCTTCCTTTGGTTCTTGGTTCCCCTGCACTCCTGCAAATTGAAGGCCGACCTTTATCCCTCTACCCCTTTCTTTTCACCGTCGCAAAAAGGCTGTTCAAACCCGAAGTGACGTGCTCAAGCAAAAAGCGGAGCGACCCCCTGTGATCGCGAGGGGAACTTAGCAAGGCAGACCTACCATGTGAGTCACTCACAGCCGATTCGTTTTTCGTCACAAACAACGGGGAGATCTAATCCAACAAATCAAACGCCAGGCAATCTTTAGGGGCTGCACAAATCCCATCAAATGAAGAGACGGAACCCGAAAAAAGGGGATCAAATTCAGAGTATCCATTTTCGGCCTCAGCCCTTTGAACCGTCCCTTCAATGTCGGGCTGAGGGCCCAACTGGATGGTGCTGTATACAAGAACTCAGGGAAAGGCCCCCAAAAACCCCCGCAGCATGACACCCACTTGTGCCTTCTCGGTGGAATACTTCTCCATGAGGCTAATGAAACTGGACACCTGGCAGGAACTTGTCGCTTGGCTCTGCGGAAAGCTTCCTTGAAAAGGCGTTCATTCTGGCTCTCGTTTTTGTTGGCTTCAGCTTTGCTCCCATGGGAATCCTCAAAGAAACCGGCGCAAGGGATCTGAATCTCGATGAGAGGATTGTTTTTGACACCTGTTTTCTTGGAGTCAGAACTTCAGACCCCGCCTTCTTGATCATGGCCTGGATCTTCGAGGCAAAATCGTCGATGGCGTTGCTGGACTCCGAGGAGTAGTCGAAGGAGTAGCGCCTTGGCTGACAGCCTTGATGCAACACGCGACCATGGTGCGTTTGTGCCCGTCTAGGGCACCCAACAATCCCCCAACCAATCCCCCACAACCAATCCCCCACAACCAATCCCCCACAACCAATCCCCCACCCCCACAACCAATCCCCCACAACCAATCCACAACCAATCCACAACCAATCCACAACCAATCCACAACCAATCCACAACCAATCCACAACCAATCCAAAACCAATCCACAACCAATCCACAACCAATCCCCCACAACCAGCCGACAACCCCCCGACAACCCCCACAACCTCCACACCGACACAACACAATACAGCGCACACACACACACAAACACACAAACACACAAAAACACAAAAACACACAACCACAAACACAAACACAAAAACACAAAGCACAAACACACGCAAACACACACCAACACACACCAACACACACACATCAACACACACACACACCAACACAAAGACGAACACAGACACAACCGCATACACAAACAACAAAACAGAAAATCACAACACACACACACAAAACCACAAACAAACACAAACAAAACACACATACTAAACCACAAAACGCACACACACAAACACACACATGCACAAAAACTCAAAGACACAAAGACACAAAGACACAAAAACACAAACACACAAACACGCAACGCAACACACACACACAGACACACCCGAAGACACAAAGACACAAACAACACAAAACACACAAACACACAAACACGCAAACACGCAAACACACAAAAAAACAAAACTCACAAACACACAAATACACAACCACGCAAAACACACAAACAAACAACAATAACACAATAACACAAACACAAAAAACAAGCACAATCACCCCCGGGGCCTGACGTTGCTTCGCTGGGTTGGCGTTCTTCGGGGAGGCGAGGACCCCCGGGGGCAGCACTAAGGGAATTCTTCCCGACGAGCACCCCCTCCCCTGCCCTCCCAGACGTCAGGGCGACAGTGCCTACCTTCCCTCATTCTCAGCCTTCTGCGGCCTTCTGTGGCCTTGTGCGTGGCATTCCGTGGCCCCCGCGTGGCCTTAGTTCCCCCACTTCACCTACTTCCTGTCATGGCCCCTGTGTGGCCTTCCGTGGCCCCCGCGTGGCCTTGCTTCACCCACTTTGCTTCCTGTCATGGCCCCTGCGTGGCCTTCCGTGGCCGCCGCGTGGCCTTGCTTCACCTACCTTGCTTCCTGTCATGGCCCCTGCGTGGCCTTCCGTGGCCCCCGCGTGGCCTTGCTTCACCCACTTTGCTTCCTGTCATGGTTTCTGCGTGGCCTTCCGTGGCCGCCGCGTGGCCTTGCTTCACCTACCTTGCTTCCTGTCATGGCCCCCTGCGTGGCATTCCGTGGCCCCCGCGTGGCCTTGCTTCACCTACTTTGCTTTTTGTCATGGCCCTGCGTGGCCTTGCTTCACCCACTTTGCTTGCTGTCATGGCCCCTGCGTGGCCTTCCGTGGCCTCACTTTGCTCACTTTCTACTTTGCTTCCTGTCTTGGCCTCTGCGTGGCCTTCCATGGCCGCCGCGTGGCCTTGCTTCGCCTACTTTGCTTCCTGTCATGGCCCCTGCGTGGCATTCCGTGGCCCCCGCGTGGCCTTGCTTCACCTACTTTGCTTCCTGTCTTGGCCCTTGCATGGCCTTCCATGGCCGCCGCGTGGCCTTGCTTCGCCTACTTTGCTTCCTGTCATGGCCCCTGCGTGGCATTCCGTGGCCCCCGCGTGGCCTTGCTTCACCTACCTACTTTGCTTCCTGTCTTGGCCCTTGCATGGCCTTCCATGGCCGCCGCGTGGCCTTGCTTCGCCTACTTTGCTTCCTGTCATGGCGTGGCATTCCGTGGCCCCCGCGTGGCTTGCTTCACCTACTTTGCTTCCTGTCTTGGCCCTTGCATGGCCTTCCATGGCCGCCGCGTGGCCTTGCTTCACCTACTTTGCTTCCTGTCCCGCTGGCCTTGCTTTGCCTACTTTGCTTGCCCTTGCGTGGTCCTTGACCGCCGCGTGGCTTACTTTGCTCACTTTTTTGCTTCCTGTCTTGGCCCCTGCGTGCTGTGGCCCCCGTGTCCGCTTGGCCTTACTTTGCTTTGCTTCCTGTCTTGGCCCCTGCGTGGCCTTCCGTGGCCGCCGCGTGGCTTTACTTTGCTCACGTTGCTTCCTGTCTTGGCCCCTGCGTGGCCTTCCGTGGCCGCCGCTTGGCCTTACTTTGCTCACTTTGCCCTTTGCCCACGCGTGGCCCTCCGTGGCCGCCACGTGGCCTTACTTTGCTCACTTTGCTTCCTGTCTTGGCCCTTGCGTGAGCTTCTGTGGCCCCCGCATGGCCTTGCTTCGCCTACTTTGAACCCTGTCTTGGCCCCTGCGTGGCTTTCTGTAGCCCTTGCGTGGCCTTACTTGCTCTCTTTGCTTCCTGTCTTGGCCCTTGCGTGGCCGTGGCCCCTGCGGGTCTTGCTTACTTTGCTTCCGTCTTTGGCTGCTGGACCCTTGCGGGACTTTTGTCTTGGCCCCTGCATGGCCTTCTTCGGCCCCCGTGTGGCCATACTTTGCCTTTCTCTGCTTCCTCTTTTTGCTCCAACCCTCTGTCGCCTTCGCGTGGACTTTGCTCTCTCTGTCTTGGGCCCCGAATGGCATGTTTGGCCCTGCGTGGCCTTACCTTGCTTACCTTGCTTCCTGTCTCGGCCCTGTGTCATGGCCTTCTGTGGCCTTCTCGTGGCCTTCCTGCACTTCCTGTCTTGGCCCTTGCGTGGCCCTCCGCGGCCCCAGCGTGGGCATTACTTGCTTTGCTTTTTTTGCACACTTGCGCCACCCTTGGGTTGACCCGCTCGCCCATGGTGTGGCCTGTGTCTTGGCTGCATCTAGTTTCCGGCCGGCTTGAACCCCTAGCTTCGGCCGGGGGGGAAGCGCCGGCCTGGCCTCGCTAACATGCGCTGGCCACGAACCAACCAACCAACCAACCAACCAAACAAGCACAATCAAAGCACAAGCCCAAGCACCAGCGCACGACCCACGCACGCACACAGACACACACAGACACACACAGACACACACACAGACACACACAGACACACACACACAGACACACACAGACACACACAGACACACACACAGACACACACAGACACACACAGACACACACAGACACACACAGACACACACAAACACACACAGACACACACACAGACACACACAGACACACACAGACACACAAACACACAGAGACACACACACAAAAACACCCACACACACACACACAAAAAAACACCCACACACACAGACACACACACAACCACATACACACACCAATGCACACACAAAAACAAAAACACACAAACACACACGCAAAATTCACAAACACACATGCACACACACACACACACCCGAACTCACATAAACACACATACACAAATACACACAGACACGCACACAGACAAATACATACACACACACACATGCACAGACACACAGACACACACAGACACACACACACAGACACACACAGACACACACAAACACACACACACACACAGACACACACACAGACACACACAGACACACACAGACAACACACACACACAGACACACACACACACAGACACACACACACACAGACACACACAGACACACACACACACACACACACGCAACCCGCACAGACACACACACAGATACAGACACAGACACACACAGACACACACACACAGACACAGACACACACACACACACGGACACACACACACAGACACACACCCAAACACAGACACACACCCACCCACAGAGACACACACACAACCAAACACAGACTTACACACAACCACAAACACACACACACACACCAAACACTCAAACACACAAACACACAAAAACACAAAACACACAAACTCAAAACACACACACAAAACAGACACGCGCAAGAAACACACAAACACACAAACTCACAGACACACAAACACTCAAACACGCAAACTTACAAACACACCAACACACAATCACACAAACACACAACCACACAAATACACAACCACACAAGGATAACACAATAGCACAAAGACAAACACAAACACGAACACAGACACAACCGCAAACACAAGCCACGAAGCCAACAAACACAAACACACAAATACATCACAAAGACACAACACAAATACTACACCACAAACCACACACACATTTACAAAAACACAAAAACAACAATGCACAAAAACACCAAAGACGACGCACAAACACGCAAAAACACAAAGACGCAAACAACACAAAACGCACAAACACACAAACACACAAACAGGCAAACACACAAACACACAAACACACAAACAACACACAAACACTCAAACGAACAACAATAACACAATAACACAAGCACAATCACAAGCAAAAGCACAAGCACAAGCGCACGCACGCACACAGACACACACACAGACACACACACACACACACAGACACACACACACACACACACACACCACACGCACGCACGCACGCACGCACACAAGCACGCACGCACGCTCGTACCCACACACGCACGCTCGTACCCACACACGCACGCACGCTCGCACGCACGCACGCACGCTCGCACGCACGCACGCTCGTACCCACGCACACGCACGCACGCTCGCACGCACGCACGCTCTTTTGCACGCACGCACGCTTGTACCCACACACGCACGCACGCTCGCATGCACGCACGCAGGCACGCACGGTCGCACGCTCGCACGCACGCACGCTCGTACCCACACGCATGTGAATTGGAAGCACGCTTCTAGCCAAGGCTCAACCTACGTCTTGGGTCGTGACATTGAGCTAGAAACAAATAAGAGGCGGCGGACAACCACCAGCGGGTGGGCCTTGTCATTGTTCTGTAAATCTCTTGCGCCCATGTTGGTTCGTCACGGGCAAAGATAGTCGCTGGCGGGTGCTGGTATTTGCTCGTCGCGGGACTTAATCCTGAAACGGCGGGTTGGGTCTTTTGGGGGCGCACCGGGTTCTCGATTTGAGTGGCAACTTGGATCCTGTTCGTCTCAAACATGCGACCCCAAAATGGCGAGCCAAACCCCTCCAGCGCGAAGCATCCGCTTATCTGAGTCGCTGGAGCTCCTTGGCCCGGTCGGTGGCGTTCCATTCCAGGAACTGAGCGAACTCCAAGGTGGAGTTCACCGCCGGCACCCCGCCTCCGGCGGGCTCCCGCTTGCGGACGGGTACCCGCGTGCGCGGACGAGTGATGTCCCGAAGGGAAAGGCACCATCCGTGTTTTTCTCCGGGTCCGTCGGGAAAGACCCATCGTTCAAAGATTGCCCCCACAAACTTCCGCCATCAACGCACAAAAATGACACGCACGGGCCCTTTCAGGGCTGATTTTGACCTTTGCCCTTGTTTTACTCCTTTGGGGTTTTGAATTGGGGCCTGCTTTTGCTTGCCTAGGAACCTACCTTTTTCGGAGGAACATGGAACCCCAGTTCCCATGTGCTTTGGTGTCGGTTGGGTGCGTCTTAAAAAGAAGGGACCGCATGGGCACCATTTGACTCGTTCGACCAACCTGTGGATGGTTCCAAAAAAATAACCTGGAATGAACACATTTCATTTCCCTACCAGTAGAGCCGGCGAAGCCGGTGGGCGGAAGTTTCAAACATATAAAAACTATAGTTCTCTTTCTCTTTCTTTTCTTGACTCTTTTTCTCTTCTTCTTCCTTTTCATTGTTTCTTTTTCTCCGTCATTCTTCCTTTCTTCCTTTCTTTCCTTCCTCCCTTCTTTCCTTCTTTCTATCTGCCTTGTCTTTCTTTCTTTCGTTTGCTTGTCTATCTATCTTTCTCTACCTATCTATCTACCCGACTACATATCTATCTCTCGTGTTATCTATCTATCTGCTTATCTATCTATCTATCTATCTCTCTATCTATCTTCTATATCTATCTATATGTCTCTCTACGTCTATCTCTCTCTCTCTATCTGTCTATCTATCTATCTATCTATCTATTTACCTCTCTATCTATGTCTCTATCTATCTATGTATCTATCTATCTCTCTCTCTATCTATCTATCTATCTACCTATTTATCTGTCTAGCTATTTCGCGTCTCTATCTCTCTTTCGTTCTATCTATCTCTCTATCTCTCTTTCTTTCTATCTCTCTATCTCTTTCTCTGTCTCTTTCTATCTATCTATCTATCTATCTATCTATCTATCTCTCCATCTATCTCCCGCGTATTTGTCTATCTATCGATCTATCTATCTATCTGTCTATCCATCAATCAATCTATCTATCTATCTATCTGTCTCTCTATCTGTCTGTCTATCTATCTATCTATCTATCTCTCTATCTCTCTATGTATCCCTCTATGTACCTATCTATCTATCTCTCTCTCTCTCTATCTGTTTATCTCTGTATCTCTCTATCTATCTATCTATCTATCTCTCTATCTATCTCTCTATCTCACTATCTCCCGTGCATTTATCCATCTCTCTATCTCTCTATCTATCTAAATTTCTATCTATCTATATATCTACCTATCTTTCTATCTCTCTATCTCTCTATCTATCCATCTCTCTATCTACCTCTCTATCTCTCTATCTCTCTATCTATCTATCTATCTATCTATCTATCTATCTATCTATCTATGTATCTCTCTTTCTTTCTATTTACCTCTCTATCTATTTATTTACCTATCTATGTATCGATTTATCACTCTATTTTTCTTTCTATCTATCTATCTATCTATCTCTCTATCTCTCTTTCTTTCTATCTATCTATCTCTCGCTATCATTCTCTATCGATCTATAGTTCTTTCTGTGTCTAGCTATCTCACTATCTATTTTCTCTCTGTCTGTGTACCTATCTCTCCATCTATCTATCTATCTATCTATGTATCTATCTATCTATCTATCTATCTGTCTCTCAGTCAATCAATCTATCTATCTGTCTATCTATATTTTTCTCTATCTTTATCTATCTATCTATCTATCCATCCATCCATCTATCTCTCTCTCTTTGATCTGTCTATCTATCTATCTATCAATCTATCTATCTATCTATCTATCTACCTATATACCTCTTTATCTATCTATCTATCTACCCATCTATGTATCGATCTCTCTATCTATCTAAATTTCTATCTATCTATATATCTACCTATCTTTCTATCTCTCTATCTCTCTATCTATCCATCTCTCTATCTACCTCTCTATGTCTCTATCTATCTATCTATCTATCTATCTATCTATCTATCTATCTATCTATCTATCTATCTATCTATCTATCTATGTATCTCTCTTTCTTTCTATTTACCTCTCTATCTATTTATTTACCTATCTATGTATCGATTTATCACTCTATTTTTCTTTCTATCTATCTATCTATCTATCTCTCTATCTCTCTTTCTTTCTATCTATCTATCTCTCGCTATCATTCTCTATCGATCTATAGTTCTTTCTGTGTCTAGCTATCTCACTATCTATTTTCTCTCTGTCTGTGTACCTATCTCTCCATCTATCTATCTATCTATCTATGTATCTATCTATCTATCTATCTATCTGTCTCTCAGTCAATCAATCTATCTATCTGTCTATCTATATTTTTCTCTATCTTTATCTATCTATCTATCTATCCATCCATCCATCTATCTCTCTCTCTTTGATCTGTCTATCTATCTATCTATCAATCTATCTATCTATCTATCTACCTATATACCTCTTTATCTATCTATCTATCTACCCATCTATGTATCGATCTATCTATCTATTTCTCTCTTTTTCTTTATCTATCTGTCTATCTATCTTTCTACCTCTCTATCTCTCTATCTATCTATCTATCTATCTATCTGTCTATCTTTCTATCTCTCGTGTAGCTATCTGTCCCTCTATCTATCTATATGTCTTTCTTTCTTTCTATCTATCTATCCATCTATCTCTCTATCTATCTATCTGTCTATCTATCTACGTATCTATCTATCTATCTAGCTATCTATCTATCTCTATCTATCTGTGCATCTATCTTTCTATCTCTCTATCTCTATCTATCTATGTATCTACCTATCTATCTATCTATCTATCCATCCATCCATCTCTCTCTCTCTCTCCATCTATCTCTTGTGTATCTATCTATCTCTCTACCTATCTATCTATCTATCTCCCTACCTATCTATCTATCTACCTATTTATCTATCTATCTATCTATCTATCTATCTATGTATCTATTTATTTATCTATCTATCTATCTATCCAGAAATACAGACAAAACAATGGTTTCAATCATGGTTGCGGCACGTTTCGAATTTGCTGAATGAAATCTCCACAAATCTCCAGGAAGGGAAACTGAGAAACGCGCCTCCGGTGGCAGCTGCCTGTGTCTCCTGGGCGGCTCCACCCGCAGCTTTTCCGAGTCGGTGGGCTCATGACAATGGGCTCGTGAGCCTTCAATGGGCTCATAGCTCGTCTTGGGCTGGCCAAAAGACCAGCAACACGGTTCTAGTTTTCTCATCTGAAGACGGTTTTCGGGGTCCAAGAACCACATGTGATCTTGGTAATGTTGACCCAGGATTAATAGACCCGTCCCACTATTACCCTGCAAAAGTGATGAATCCCCACTAACAGGGGACACCCCCCCATCAAAAGCAACCAGGCGTTTTAATCCGGGGTTAACAGTACAGGTAGAAGTTTGGGTTTTCCAAGCCCGAAGCTGGCCAGATCTGGGGCCCATGGGCGCTCAACACGGCGCCCGCACCTCGGAAGTGCCATCCGTGGGCGACCTAAGCGCCGGCCGGCAAAAGGGCGCGAGGCCGTTTCAGCCGAGTCCGTCAATTGAACACTTTGTTTATGTGTTTGTCATATTTATCTTATATTACTTTAAGTTTGTTTGGGGGGTTCAAACAACATGGTTTCCACTGAAATTCAGTCTTGTCGGGTTTCCATTCAAATTTAGGTCCAGCCATTTTTGAGGCGGTTTTTCAATGAGACGAGCAGCCATTGTCTTGCTTATTCATCCAGAAGTGGCCGGCAGCTGACGCGCCAAAGGGGGAAAAGCTAGGAGTCCTGTGTTCATAAATGTCCAGAACCAAAATGCAACCATTGATCATTGTCCCACGTTCATGGCATAGTTTTTTGAGGGCGCCCCCTTTTTGGTGGTTCTAAAGGACAACTAAAAGAAAACCACCATTTGGGGGGGGGTCGGGTCCCCTAAAGACACATTCTTCATTTTGGGGGCTGGGTTCAACCCCAGCCAAGGGGCCAACGTTCACTCCGTATGAATCAGCCCCAGTGTATGAATACGGGGGTGGGGCCCCTTCGAAAGTGCTGATTCCCCCATGAATAAAAACCGGGCTTGATTTATATGAGGTGAACACGTTTGTTATTAAATAGGCCTCCAGGTGGGTTCTATAGTCCTAGATTCTCGCTTTTTTCATCGCCGCCTGATCGCCAGACCCCGCGTGCGTTTCATTTCGCGTGCGTTTCATTTGAAGGTGCTGTTGTTTTGTTGAGCGAAAGAGGGACCGTGTAGCATGTTGACACGAATCCCAATCCTTTCATGATCTCGGTCTATTGCGCGGCGGTTTGCTGCTCGGTTCCCGGGGGCGCGGCTGACCCCCCAGCAGGCGCTGCAGCAGCAGCTGCGAGGTCTGCGACGTGTAGAGCTGGGCCCGGCGCTGCTGCCGCGCCTCGTTTCGGCCGTGGGCTGAGGCGGGGCTGAGGCGAGGTGGATCCCAGAAAACGTGAAACCACTTTTTGGGACCGTGGGGATAAACAAGAACACTTTGTGTCCTTTTTGTGCTGGCTAATCAGCCTGCTGTCTGAGTCGGCCGGGTAGCCGTGGCGTTCGGGATTTCCGACAGAGAACCCAGTGGCATTCGGGAAAATCAGGAAGCCCAACTGCAGTTTGCCACGGTTTCAAGGACCCAATGAGAGAAGCTTGTTTTAAGGGAAACCACCAGAAACATGAGAGGGGGAAAGGGGCCTGCGTTGGGATGGTGTTCAACGGGTGTCAAAAGAACTTGCTGCAAACACTCTCGAGGTCCATCCACTTCGATCCGCTGAAAATAGGTTCGTCTACAAATGGGATGTAGGGCGTTCCTCGAAAAGTCTCCAGCAAAACGGCATACCCACTTGTGGGAAATAGCTGCCTCTTTCTGCCCCGCGTTTTGGTCGTTTTTTTTCATCCCTAGATGCTTTTTCACTTTCAGGTTTGAATTTTGGGGGAAAAATGGTGCCACGCACGCCCTCGCGCCCTGAGCTATGGATTCCCATCCAACCACAAGACGCCTGGCGAATTCTCTGGCAATCGCGCATCCTCAACTTCTTCCTACCTTCCGATTTGGCATCCAACCTGAGTTTGGCCCCCAAAAAGTGGCCACTCGCCAGCCTGCAGCCGCTGGAGGCGGTAGAGCTTGACGCCCTCCTGAAAAAATCCCAACGGGGAAAGCCAAACAAAACTGACAGGGGACCTCCCATGGGCCCCAGATCCCCAATGGTCAAAACGTGAAACATGGAAAGCCTACCGTCAACCTTACTCTGAGCTTTGGCCTTAGCTCGGAGGTCTTCTTTCTCAGACCCAAGAAAGTGGACATCTGATTTTGCCTGTGACACCCATCGTTTTGCGGGTTCCAAGTAACACCTTGAACGTATGTGGAATTCGGTGGGGGAAACCCGACAGAGCATAACGGGTTTGGGCTTCGCCTGGCGCTCGAAAGCACCTCAAATAGCACGCTGACCAATGAAACTCGCCGGGCAGGGTTCCAGCTATATGTCCTCCGCATCACCCCGATGCAAAGGAAATTGGCCTTTTAAAAAGGCGAGAAGGAAAACAAGAAAGCCCCCAAAGGGGGGTCCCTGAACAAAATATCCGGAGGAGATGTAGGGGATGGAGCTAAGGAGGTAACCCGGGATCTGATCGATGTCCCCTGAACTCCATGGGTATGTGCCAAAGGTGTTTGGACCACACAAATCTGTTCCTTTTGACTTCTCCTTAAACAAAGGTGAACATTGCATCGTCAAAAACACGATCCACCTGTATGGGGGGGCAAGTGAAAAGAGAACGCCTTCGTGGTTGCACCCGGGTACTGAATCGGGGCGCTAAATCGACCCATCCCAGAGGCTGGCTTTCGAACAAAAACGGCACCCCAACATCATGAGTTCTTATTTTCCCCGTTGGGAAGATTTTATCACAACATCTCACTGCGAGTACCTCAAACCCAGATCTGTTGCAGGCCTCCGCCAGCATGTAGGCAGCCTCAGGCATCTGCGACAGGAACTGCTCCTCCTCGGCAACGAGTGTGGCGGGGGTGGGAGGGTGCCCTCTTCACCTTGGTTTAAAGGGACGCCAACAGGAAAACCACCTATTTGAGGGAAGTTTAGACAAAGGGACCCACCCTGTGACGAACCACAGAGTGAGTACCTCCACTTAGGGGGCCCTGTGGCTGTCATCTAGGCTAGTACAAACTACCAACTACCCACTTGGGCAAATATTCCAAGGCGGGAAGGGCTTCGTCTGCGAGGGGGTGGCAGTAAAACCAAAAAAACACTTTTATGATAGACGCTATGAGGGGGTTGCTGGGAGTGGGTAAGCAAAATGAAGCCGAACTTCCGATGAACCCCCAAATTCTTGATGAGTGCACGGCTCCTTTTCGGACTTCCCTGCGTGTGTTGGTTCGGGGTGCAGATTAGGTTGCCTTCGACCAAGAGTTGCCAAATAAATCCTCAGCTTTTGCAGTACCAACAAACATATGTCTGAATCTGGCAACCACATGCAGTGAACCTTAAACCTTCAAGGCAAAGATTAAAAGGTTCAAGGGCACAAGAACACCCTGCCCAGTTCCAAGGGAAACCAAACGGCAGAAGCTCCGGACAAAACCAAACTGACTTCCGCGCCTCGGTGCCGCTCTGGCCCAGTCCAAGCAAGGAGACCCCGTTGCCGCTCTCGACCTATCGAGGAGCTCTCCGGCTTTCGGAGGGTCAACACATGGGTCGGAGTCCACTTTTGGAGCTTCTTGCAGCCGGGTAGGTGGATCTGTCTGCGTTTTCAAGGTGAACTTGGGAGATTTTGACACATCTGCTTTTTAGCCTTCAGGGGTGTGGCTCAAAATTAAACAGCTAGGGTTACGCAGGTTTTAGTCTTTGGTTCCATTTACCCAGGTGCCATTTGAGTACATTTTATTGAGCCACAGCCTGGGGTGTGGTCCCCATTTTGTGGTCCCCCATTTGGCTGGTCAAAAATAGGTGCCCTAAATGGAGTTTTGGTACATGGCACCAAGGACTTAAAACCTGCGGCCCATTTCAGGTGTGACTTGACGCCTCGCCTGGGTGATCCACCCAGTGGCCATCTTCACGCACGCCGGCTGGTCCTGGAGGTTGTACCCTGCGCGCGGAAAGCTTCAGCGTCCCAAAGGGCGTCCAAACCGCAAACCAAAAGTCAGACTCCAGGCAAAACCGGGGTGGGGTGGGGGGGAAAACGAGAAGTCTAAAGGCAAACTCAATGGAAATCAAACATCTGGGTGTGGTCCCCCTTGTTTGCACACAAGACACGACCCATCTTGCGGATCGCGTAGATCATTTTCTGAATAAACCTGGCGATCGACCCCAGTTTCACCCCTGATTGTTCCGAATCAAGTGTTTAAACAAGAGCTGGGGAATCTGGGCTGTATTTTCGGGGCACAATTGCCTGCGAGAAGAATTCTACACTCTCACAGGGAGGGGTGTTACACCAAAAGGTAATGGATTTCCTCGTCTATGAGGCAGCCAAGGGTTTCTGTCGTAAAACGAAGGGATTCTATACTACTGTGATCTTTCCATTGGTTCCATGATCCAAAAACCCCTGCTTGTTGATCCCAATCACGGCTCGCACCCCTTTCCAAATTCACTTTGGGAGTGGCCGCCCTTTCCAAATGGCCTTTAAATGGAAAGGCTTCAGCGAAGGTTTGTTCCCTGCACCCACTCGCATAGCCTAAGAATTCGCCACCGTGACGGCTTCTTGGCTTCCCTCCGGGACACCGAAGTCGACTCTTTGCCAAACTCTCCGCGAGTGCAAGGACACGATCAGCTCGACAATAAGGGGAATCCTGGAATCCAGGAAAGAAACAAAGGTCTTCGATGCATTGTTTGCATCCCACTTTTTCTCAGTTTCTTGGACCGCAAACCGCGCCAGGTTGCTTCATCCCCCCAAAAAGCCAAGTGCCACGCCTTGCCCTGTCCACCAACTGGCGTTGCTCATCAGGTCGACGGCCTGAAGCATCGCCTCGCGGAGTTCGGCAAAGGAAGCGGCCTCACTCTTGGCCCGGTTGAGCTTCGAGCCCCCCCACACACACCTGGGACCTTGAGGACCCCTGAAGGTTGAGCCAAAGGTCGAGCCTTTGGCAAAGCAAGTGCAATCATCAAACAAATCTGTGCAACCACCTTCTGCTTTGCTTGATCCAATTTTTTGGGAGGGCTGTGTCTATCCCACTCCGGGCCCGGCCCCAGCCCACCAAGGGCCCTACGCATCGTCCCATTGTGGCCGTGAAACGAAAAGGCGGAGCTGTTCAAACAAACCCTAGCCATCAAGCACTTGAGCAACCAATGGCAAAAAAGAAACGTGTAAAGCAACGGGATTCCATGCCAGTTGAGGTCTCCCTGCCAATCAACATATATCGCAACTGCTGGGACCTCTGCGGGAAGTTACACAGAAAATAAAGGAAGGGATGGTCGTGTTCGACTTACTTACTGTCGGAAGCGTTGGTTTTGCTATCATTGCGTTGCCTTGAATTGATATGGCAACTATAGTCACTATAACATTCTCCTCTCTATTCGCTCCAATTATTGAAACAGCCACAGAAATCGGCGTTTCCCGCTCGCCCGTCGCACCTCGGGGTGCAGATTGTACACCTCCTGCAAAGGAACGCGAAACGTAGGAGAGAGGAATTGGGCTCAGCCGCTTGTCTAGTCTTTCAAGGGAAATGCATTGCCAGAAATCGACGTGGAAATACCCCCCCATTTGTGGAAATCTCCTTGCCCAAACAAGGGGGGGGTTTTCCAAAGGCGGTGTCTACAGTGCGAAGAGTTCAGTGGAAGCCACGGAAATTGACGTTAGCTTCGCCTGCTTTGGTGTCATCCACTCGACACATCTCGCTTGGCAGTCCTGGGTCAGTATGAGCCCGGTATCCGCGGAGGTGTAGACCTGTGCATTGGGGTCCTTCGCAGCGAGGCACATCCTCGGCCACGAAGAAAAGAAGTGGCTCGGTGGACATGGGGTCAACCGTTGTTGCCGATGGAACATGTTTGGACATTTTTTGGGGAAGCTGGTTTTGAACCAGTCAGATATCTGTTTCTGTGTGCGAGTTAGTGTTTGTGTTTGTGTGTGTGCGCTTGTAGGAAGGCTAAGAAATCCTAAGGATGCAAGGAACTTTGACCGAAGAGGAATCCCTGAGGAACGGCAAGGAAACGAAAAGCCCCATAATAAGGGTCGTCTTGCGAGGATCATGCCACTTCCTACCTAACATTGCACCATCTTGGGGGCGAAAAGATTTCCCTTAACACTGGCAAGCTGCAATGGTGGCTCCTTCAAAAAAGGAAAATACGGGTTTGTTGCAAAATTTGGGGACCCGATGCGTTTTTTTTGGCTTCCCCTTTAACCCGAGCCCCGAATTAGACTTTCCCGAAGGGGTCAATGCCTCAGCATGGTTGGGAAGACAGGCAGAAATTGGTGGCGGGCATAAATCCCACGTGAATGATGTCCATCTCTTGAGCTAAGGCCAAAGGGAAGCTTCCCTTTGGTTTTCGTGTCAAACGGGCCCGACAAGGGGGTTCCCTACTTTGAGACAAAAACTTGCTTTGTGTCCAAGCACAACCATGGTCAAAACTCGTTCTGCGTGGCCATATGGTTCCTTCCTGGCCACCTTTTCCATAAGTTCTGAAAACACTCTCTGCCAACCTGATCCGAGCTTCTCCACAAAGACGGTGCCGGTGAAGTCCAAGGGTACCGAGCCGTTGCCCAGGCGGTCCGAGATCCAGCCCACCTTTGTCATGTTCTTGGCGCATACCTCGGAGCATGGCGCCCAGGAAAATGAGGTGATGTGTTTTCGTTGCTGTTGCTGTTGATGTTGTTCTTGTTCCTCTTCTTCTTTCTCTTGTCGTCTGCATTGGCGTTGTTGTTGCTGTTCTTGCTGCTGCTGTGGCTGTTGCGCTCTTGCTGTGTTCGTGGTCGTGGTCGTGGTCCTGGTCCTGGTCCTGGTCCTTGTCGTTGTTGTCGTTGTTGTCGTTGTTGTCGTTGTTGTCGTTGTTGTCGTTGTTGTCGTTGTTGTCGTTGTTGTCGTTGTTGTCGTTGTTGTCGTTGTTGTCGTTGTTGTCGTTGCTGTCGTTGCTGTCGTTGTTGTCGTTGTTGTCGTTGTTGTCGTTGTCGTCGTCGTCGTCGTTGTCGTTGTCGTCGTCGTCGTCGTTGTCGTTGTCGTTGTCGTTGTCGTTGCCGTTGTCGTTGTCGTGGTCGTTGTTGTCGTTGTTGTTGTTGTTGTTGTGGTGGTGGTGGTGGTGGTGGTTCTGGTTCTGGTTCTTGTTCTTGCTCTTGTTCTTCTTGTTCTTCTTGTTCTTGGCGCATACCTCGGAACATGGCGCCCAGGAAAATGAGGTGATGTGTTTTCGTTTCTGTTGCTGCTGCTGTTGTTCTTGTTCCTCTTCTTCTTTCTCTTGTCGTCTGCATTGGCGTTGTTGTTGCTGTTCTTGCTGCTGCTGTGGCTGTTGCGCTCTTGCTGTGTTCGTGGTCGTGGTCGTGGTCCTGGTCCTGGTCGTTGTCGTTGGTGTCGTTGTTGTCGTTGTTGTCGTTGTTGTCGTTGTTGTCGTTGTTGTCGTTGTTGTCGTTGTTGTCGTTGCTGTCGTTGCTGTCCTTGTTGTCGTTGTTGTCGCTGTTGTCGCTGTTGTCGTTGTTGTGGTTGTTGTTGTTGTGGTGGTGGTGGTGGTGGTGGTTCCTGTTCTTCTTGTTGTTCTTGTTCTTCTTCTTCTTGTTCTTGTTGTTCTTGTTGTTCTTGTTGTTCTTGTTCTTCTTGTTCTTCTTGTTGTTGTTGGGTCCGACGTTACGTAAACGCGCGATTTCACCATTCGCTGACGTAGCTTTTCCCGTGGCCTGCGTGGCGCTTCGGACACATCGCCGCTCAAAAACAGCTTTTGGTATGGTATTCGTCAGTAGTGGGGTGCGCCCCCGCCACGTGCGTTTCCAGCCTCCTTGAGCGTCGCGTTTCGTGTGGCCTGCGTGGCACATCGGACATCTCACCAGCCAGAAAACAGCGTTTCGTGTGGTATTTGCACGTAGTCGTGACACGTAGTCGTGACACTTCGGACATCTAATCAGAACACCCGCTCACGCGCACCCGCTCGGCACTGTATCCACGCTTGCCACCTAGTAAGAACACCCGCTCACGCGCACCGGCTCGGCACTGTATCCACGCTTGCCACCTAATAAAAACACCCGCGCACGCGCACCTGCTCGGCACTGTATCCACGCTTGCCACCTAATAAGAACACCCGCTCACGCGCACCCGCTCGGCACTGTATCCACGCTTGCCACCTAATAAGAACACCCGCTCACGCGCACCCGCTCGGCACTGTACCCACGCTTGCCACCTAATAAGAACACCCGCTCACGCGCACCCGCTCGGCACTGTATCCACGCTTGCCACCTAATAAGAACACCCGCTCACGCGCGCCCGCTCGGCACTGCACTCATGTGCTGTCACCATGGGTCGGCGGTCTGTGCATTTAGTTTCAAGCTGTACCACTGCCTGAGTCTTGAGACACACGTGGTCTTGCGGTGTTGCCATGGCTTCCGATCTGTCCTATTTGCAGCTTCTGCATGCTTCTGGGCCGCCATCTCCACTGTCTGGCTTTGATTCGCCACCTTCGGTGAAGTACAAGATGTGGTTTCTGCGACAGCGGAGAACGGCCATGGCTTTTCGCAAGGGCGATGATTCCCCTGTGTCTGTGCGCAGCTCAAGCAGCTGTGCAAAAGAAGATCCTGAGGATCAGAGTGTCGCCAAAAATGGTGCACCATACCGCTTTGGCCCGTCGAAGGCTTCTCTCGAGTCCGGGTCTTGCGACGGTCTTGAAATCTTTCGCTTTGTACAGGAAGCACCGACGAAGCGCATTGGGGCAAGCTCCGGAAGATTTCCTGGACCCTGACAAAGATGGGCATTGGATCTATGAGTAAAAGGTTGCCTGGGGGTGTCCGGCTTCTTTCTGCTAGAAGGATTTTGAATATATTGGGACCAGTTTTTTTTGGGGGGGCCACATAAGTGCAGAAGCCGCTTGCAGAGCTTGACGTTTGGCATTGACACACTCCCATGCTGGCAGAACAACTAGATTCCTGCCAGCCATATGTTGAATGATTTCTGCCAGGTTGTGATTCCTTTGAAGCCACGTGTCTGCGCTGATAGTGAGAACAAAGGTTCAGTGTTTTGTTCACTTCCGCATCCGGGCTTTGCCGGCTTTGCTGGTAGCAAGATCTTGGATGTTCGGCCTGAATGTTCAGGTGCCTGCTTTTTCGGGCGCTCATGCCTTAGCGTAAAAGTGTGTATTTTCCATTGAATTCCGCGTTCGGCTGTGCGAAATCGTTGGCCTGCGCAGTACGAAACCCGCGTGAATGGCCTGCGCAGTACTTTCTACACATCCCTATCCTGCTCAGGCATAAGTTTGTCAAGCACCCCCAAATGGACCTGGCCAAGGATGTGCTGCGCCTGCCAGTCGCAAATGAGGTTTTTGCAGTAGCGTGCGCTGTGGGCGCGCGTTAACGTCACGGCCGGCCGGCCGGCCGGCCGGCCGGAGTGTGCGCTGTGGGCGCGCGTTAACTTCACGGCCGGCCGGCCGGCCGGCCGTGGCCGTTGTTGCGTTGTTGTTGTTGTTGTTGTTGTTGTTGTTGTTGTTGTTGTTGTTGTTGTTGTTGTTGTTGTTGTTGTTGTTGTTGTTGTCGTTGTCGTCGTCGTCGTCGTCGTCGTCGTCGTCGTCGTCGTCGTCGTCGTCGTCATTGTCGCTGCCGCTGTCGTTGTCGCTGTCGTGCTTATCGTCGTCGTCGTTGTCGTTGTTGTACTTGGTTGTTGTTGGTTTTGTGGTTGTGGCTGTGGTTGTGGCTGTGGTTGTGGTTGTTGGCTGCGGCAGTGGTGGTGGGTGGGCGCATCTCTCTGGGGGGGGCCTGTTCCCAAAACAGGGAGCGGGCCCCTCGTTGTAGGTGTTGTTGACCGAACAGCGTATGTCTGGCTTTCTCTTAACACCAACCAGGGGGCTCCTTGCCCATTCTTTGGACACCCCGCATGCTACTGTTTGCTGTACCAGCGACAGCAGAAAACCGTGGGGAGAAGAGCGGGAAGAACAAGTAGGAGGAGAAGAGCAAGAAGTGGAGGAGAACGACAAAAAGGACAGACGTGAGAAGAAGAGCAAGGAAAGGAGTGGAACAAAGAAGTGGAGAAGAGTCCTTCGCCAAGCACGGGGGTTCCTTAGGGTTTCTCCAGGCCTTCCTGAACGTGCCAACGCCTAGAACTTAGCCCTTGTGACGACAATCCAGCACAGACTGGCCTAGCTGGTTGAGTGGCTGTTTTATCGCCTGCTGCATGAGCCCTTGCCATGTTTCGGCTGGGCTGCAGTGCTTGTCCCGATTTTCCCCTTTTTGTCCACACCCCGCCAGTTGTACTCCAGTCATTTACATTTTCCACCCTGAAGTGAGGCTACATCAACCCAAGTCCTTGGCTTCGAAAAAACCAACCCCCAAAAGTGCGGCTTTTCTGCAAAGCAAATGATCAAAACTGCGAATCTGTCGGTCGTGGCCATGGTTCCCCCGATGCTGGGGCACCAGTTGCTAGTGGTTGTGTCAGGGTGCATGACCCTTCCTAGCAACCCCCAAGTGAAACATATTCTCGTTGTTTGCTGCGAGGGGTGGCGCCGAGGACTTGGCTGGGCCAGTCTCATGAGGGAACTCGCCCCCAAAAAAGCCAACCCCCCAACCCCCCCCCCCCCCCAAAAGAAACGCCCGGGGCCCGGCAACCCCTCACCCTACCCCCCGAACCCACCCCCACCCCCGAACCGGCAACCGAAGAAACCCGCCCTCTGGGCGCCCCCGGCCAGGCGCACGTAGGCCGCCACGGAGTTCGCCACGTCGTCCCGCATCAGCGCCCGGCCCACCTGCCCGGCGATCTCCGCCAAGCGCTTGGCGTACTTCCTGCCGAGCGAAAAACATGGAGGACAGAAACGCGGGAAAGCCCGGCAAGAAGCAGAAGGGGGAAGCACCGAAGAACAAAGATCCACCCAACCTTCTTTTTGGCATCGTTTGGGATGGACTTGGTTGCTAGGTGGGGTTCCTCCCACTGACATGGCACCTGGGAGGGTACCTGGAAGATCAGTTTCCTCCAAAGCTGCCATCTTAGGGGAGAGAGGGTACATTTTGTGAAGCAGGTGCCATGTTAGTGGGAGGAAGGGAATCCATCCCCGTCCCTTTTGGTGTCAGTGTGGAGCTTGACTGTCGTTGCCATGGGTTTCGCTGTAGAAGACCTCTTTCCTTGGAAAAATGTTGGTTTCATGTCTGTGGACAGGAGGGTACAAAGGAAAAGATCCATCCATTTCCTGGTCAGGTCGTAACATTTAGCTGGTTGGGCAAGGGATTAAATAGAACAATCAAACATATCCTTCCGTCCCACACTATCCCCTCCCCTGCCCCCTTCTCTCCCCTGCCCCCTTGTCTCCCATCCGTCCATCCCCTGCCGTCCGTCCATCCCCTCCCATCCGTCCATCCCCTCCCATCCGTCCATCCCCTCCAATCCGTCCATCCCCTCCCATCCGTCCATCCCCTCCCTTCGGGCAAATTAAGATGTGCTTCTTGGCACCCTCCTCTTCATTGCGCTTCTTCAGCATTTCGGAACTGTTGACTTATACTTTTAGGCTGAGGACGGTGCTTTCAAACTTGAGGGGTCCCACGTTGAACTCCCCAGAGGAAGTTCTTTGGTTCGGAGCTGGCAGACGTGGATTGCGGGGTTGGTTGCGCAAGTGGCGGAAACCTATGAACAATTTGACATCAAACATGTGGAAAATGGCTTGTGGGAAGCTTGAAGCAGGTGTCCCAAGATCCGCTGAGTCCTGACCAATCTTGGGTCTTGGTCCTCAGCCTTGCGCTCTGAAGCTGCGCAAGTTTCAAATGCCGAGGAAAAATGAGTGCGCGTTTCCGAGCTGTTGGGATATAGCAGACCACCAGGTGTTCTCTTAGGGGGGGACCATGATGTTGGCCATGTTGGCCTCAACAGGGAAATTCACAACATGGGCGATCTGGTCCCTGGCTTCTGGCTAAGACTGCCCTTTTTGAGGGCCTCCCGCGCGCGCACGACACGTCCTCAAAATCACCGACAGGGACCCAGGGATGCTGGGATCGTTCACCAGGGCGTGGAATTCCTGCAAAGTCTCCAGGCGGTCCAAAAGGTTCCCATGCGTCAAAGCGGGACCCAAAGCATTTGTCTCAACGGACACGCAAAAGAGGCGCCCAAATTGACCTTCTCCATCTTTTTTGCAGGAGCAAGCCAGAATGCGGAATTATTTCATGCTCAGCCGATGGACCCAAAGAAAAAGACCCATGCTTGTATGAACCTTTGCTTTTCTCATGGCCCGCATGTTTCCCCAGCTCGATCTGCAAGAGAGTAGAGGGGCGCCAACGTGTGGGGTGTTGGCTCGAAGCTGTTGGGCAGGGTGCTGTTGGACTTTCTGTTTGAAACACAGCTAACATTGTGCTTGGCTGTCTGGGGTCTGCGTTGCTGCCTTAAAGGGAGATCACAAGGGATGGACGTGAAAAGACGAGCATCGAGTCCTTTTTCTCTCGATGGCTCTGGTGAGACCCCCACAACTCGAGCAATGCCTTGGTGGCTTCCGGTTTGGGTTCAAATTGCGCAACGCACAGGTCCCCATGGTCTCATGCGTTGGAATGGGAACCAGTCCCCACGGAACGGAGCACCACATGTTCGACGCAGCTGGAACGGCCACCAAGGAAAGGTGGGCGGCCTCACCTGGGAAAGACGCCTACCACCACCGGCGGGGCCTCTGATTTTTATTTGGCCACCAAGAGGAAACCAAGCATTCTGGGGTCCATGTCCAGATAGGCAGTCTGTGCATCTTTTTCCCCGGCTAGTTCAAACAATATTATCAAGCAGAACATTAAACTAAGCAAACCGAAGCAAGCCAAAGCAAACAACAATGGAATCAAACCAAACCAAGCCACACACACACAACCAAAGCAACCCAAACAAGCAAGCAAAGCACAAAAAAACAAAAAAACAGAACAGCACAGAACCAAGCTAAGCCAACCAACCCATCAACTTCCGAATCCCCGCGCCTTTCGTTCAAGTGTTCCATCGCCGCTCGTGTCGTACTTCTTGACGAGCTCAGGTGCCTTCTTGCCTCAACCAGCAACGCATATCCCCCTATTTCTCGGGAACAAGTTAACCTGCTGGTGCGATAAGTAGGGAAGGAGAAATGGAATGAACCCCTTTGAACTTGGAAACACGCCGAAATCTGTGAGGCTGGGTCACAGGCATGGCAACGGGTATTCGAGAAAAAAAAGAACAAAAAAACAGAATCAGCCTGACCAAGTGAGCAGCGATCTGTCTCAGCTGTGCACGAACCCAGCCGAAGCATGCCATCTGACACAATGAGTGAGACAGGATCACGAATGTGGGCAAAATGATCTTGTGGCATGCTGCAGTGCCCAAACTAATTGACTTCCGGCTGCAGAGAAACGAATGACCTCTCTCAGCCGTCCCCGAGTTGGTTTGCTTTACCGGAATCCCCAGGTTCATTCCATTTTTCACTCCCTGCCTATCGCGCCAGCAAGGTAAACACGCAAGGATTGCCGGCACCGTGCTTGTTCGGTCGTCCAGCCTTGAAGCGCGCTGATGGAGAACCAGTCGCCCACGTTCGACAGCTCCTGCGAATCGCTTCCCAGCCCCCCTCAACACTCGAGGCCTAAACCAAAGCCTTTTGGAAGGCATGCTGCGTCCAAACTTGGCGAAGGACTCTTGTAGATGTTGCCTGCCCGGCGGAACCCGCACGCAAACATCAAGACGTCTTTTCCAGCAAGTGCCAAAATAAAGATCATTGGTAAATCATATGTATTAAACTATGTGCGGGGTGCGTTGGCATTGGGTCACTAAACCTTGGGTAAGAGTTCAACCTGAAAATTGACCCCGGGCACGGCGCAAGTGGCTTCACCTGGGCTTCCTGGGCTTCAAGCCAGCGCTTGGTGATCAGCCTTTGGGGAGAACTTTCCAATTTGGAACCATAAAACCAACCAAAATCTCTACATGAACTGAATTCAAGCCCTTTTGAAGTGCCCGGGGGCCACGGTGTCGCGCTGCTTTACCCGCCGTAGAAAGGTACAAACGATGATAAAACCTGGAATTTATTTCAGATCTCAAACAGGGGAGTATGGGTATGCGTTAAAATAGGGGAAATTCAAACGGCTTGTCTTTGGTTTTCCTGACGCAAAGAGGGAGGGGGCTTCAACAAGCGTGTGGGGGGGGGGGGGTGCTCGGCACGGTGTGTTCGGATGTTCGTGTGACCGGCGGTGTGTGGCGGCCTCTTTTTGTGGGGCACGCGCAGGTTTGACGTGTCCCAAAGGTTGACTCTCTTCTCTCACGTCTGTCACAGGCCCACATCTGCGATACATTTCCGAGCTTGCAGTGAAACCTGAAAGCTCTGAAACGCTGCAACCATTGCGATAATTCCTCACCCCCGCGCATGCATGTTTCGCACATCTCAAACTATTTCAGGACATGTGTGGTGCTCATCCCGGAAGTGGCTGCTGATCGGAACGCTCCGTGGCGGAGACTGACCCGGAGCCGTCGTCGTCGAAGATGGGCCAGGTCTCGAACATCATCTGGTCCTCGGACCAAACGTGGGCCTTTTGCCCAGGGTTGGTCAAAGAGTTCCGCCCCCTCCGGCGGTTAAGGTGGCTTTCTGGAAAGATTGAGATCCATGGTTTCAGAATGAAGTTACGCGGAGGTCCATTTTGGGGCCAGCTCGGCTTACCTCCAAACGGTAGCCTAAGAAGGAACACCCTGCAGGCAGGCGGCCAGGAAGCCCTTTCCCTCCGGTTTTTGTGGCAGAGTTGGACTTAAAAAAACGATACCTCCCGTTGCTGCAGGTTTGGGGACGTGGAGAGTTTGAAGCAGGCAAAACCTTCAGAGGAACATCCGTGGAGCTCAACTTGGCATTTAACTTGCTTTCATGCTTCAACTGCTTACCCAAGATCTGCCGAGCGGGAAAATGTTGCCCTTGGGGGCCCGAGGAGCGGACCGAGTTGTTGGCGGTGCCCTTCATCTGCGCCATGACCTGGTCGAACCTGAGATGTTGGCCGAGTGCAGGTGTGGAAAAATCGGGGGATGGGGGGGGGGGGGGGGGTGAAGAGACCGCGCCAGAAAAGCGCAAGGAGTGGAGTGGCAACAGCTCTTCCCTAGTAGGTGCTGCTGTTGCTTTGAATGAATTGCAACCACTCCTGTGGCACCACTGGTACGCCTTCCCTTGCACACAATTGGCACATAACTGCCCGTGGAGTTCAAGAAAATGTGTCTACGGACTACCCTCGCATCTCTCGACACGACACAACAGTGTGTCTTGAAAAAAAAAACCGGCCTGATCAGCTCGGCCATTTGACATCAGAAAGAAGAGCGCCAACCAGTATAACGACGAATCGATTAGGAGCCCTTGCTGGATTTGTTGATGAAAATGAGGGACGATACGACAGTCAATCAATGATCAAACTTGTGGGAGGTTTCAAAATCGTAGCCACCCTGTCTTGGTATGTCAGAATGACGGAATCTTCGTGAATTGAAATAACTAAGCCATTTGGCCAGGCGTACATGTCGAATCTTGCACACACACAAAGAAAATCTGGCCGAGTCAGCTAGTGGAAACCAAACACACATTTAACCAAACTACCTAACGTTTTGAGAGGGTGCCAACCACACAAACATGAAGAAACAAGGGTCGCATCCGAGCAAAATCGGAAAATGGAAAACTGGAAGCCAGAAACTTTCAAGCAGGCTGAACCATAAGATCCGCCCAACAAAGTTCTCGAACCCCTTCGATCAGAACCCCTTCGATGAGAATTTCCCTTCCGAACCTAAACAAGGGGCGCTCCAAAACATTAGCGCAAGGTCAGAAAAAATCTGAGCGCTCTGGCAACGGGTTTCGCATCCACAGCAGGCTGGAGCAAAACACATGATGTTGTGGTTGCGTGCGCCGACAGAGGCCAAATCTCACATTAGGGCGGCGTTGCAGGGTTGCTTATCCAGACACCAACATCCCTTTTTGGACACGGAAGCCCGCTCCCGTGCCCCTGCCAAACCACCGACCATCACCTAGAATGCTCTTGGCAATATTTCTCCGTGAGTCACTCTGCTGCACCTGTAGCGGTGGGTTGTCCACACGAGTTCAGCCGGCCACGCAGCGCGTCCCGCACATCCTTGGGCAGCTCAGCCACTTCGTTAACCGCGTGAGTTGTCTTTGTCACTGTCGGAGCCTCCGGCGAGGCAAGAAACTTGATCCGGAATCGTCTTTCTCTCTGGTGACTCGTCTTTCTCTCTGGCGCTGCCAACACAGCATTTGTTCAAAGATCGAGATCCGTCAGATTCCGACGCCATCTCATGCAACCACCAGCACGGAAAAATGACGCAGATGGCACAGGGTCTCCCACACGCCAACGCCCGTAGCACCTTTGCGCACTTCTGTTGGGTACTCCTGGTAAACCGCTCTGCGGCTCACGTCTTCAACGACACGGCTCAACTCTCCCAACCTCATTCGCCATGTAGCGCCCACAACGCTTGCTCGTCGAGTTGCCCGTCCGGCTCTAGAAGGCTGAAACAACTTCGCCCCGGCACAATCGATCTCCTCTCGCGACGCTCCTGCTCGCCTTCAAGCCTTCGCCTCGGTGTGAAAGACCTCCCTCAGAACAGTCGCCACATGGGGAACCAAAAGCTGGCCCCGCCTCTCCGATCTGCACGAGCTGGTCGAAGTCCTGCGCCGTTTGTGGATCTCTTCTCATTCATCGGCAGCTCACGCAAGACAAGCACGGCGCCGCTTATGCGCGGAGGGTTCGCTTTCCTTCTTGGGGCTTCTCGCCGGGAGATCGAAACCCATGGACGAGCACGGCTCTGTGAGAGTTGGCCTCTGGGCGCAGACCATCGCTTCTTTGGCTCTGGCACTAGAAGCCGGCGGATGTGAAACCGTTTCATTGGCCGGACCAATCCAAAAGATCACCCAACGCCACACTGGAAGCGACCAGATGATCTCTAAGGCAGCCTTTAGGAGGAAGCATAGGCAAGCCCGAAATGGAGCCTTCGAAATCACTCGGACAAACCCTAAAGGAGAGAGGGGGTATAGGGAACAAAAGTGAACAACTCCTTTTGCAAGGTTTCCTCGACCAAAGCGCCTGCGTCCAAGCAACATCTTCTGTGCCTTGTCCAAGGTCAGACTAAAGTCCTCCAGGCCTGCGATCGCTTTCGTCTCGTCTCGCGGCTGTCCTCTTTCGATGGGGGCCTATTTCTTCCGCCAAAATGCGAAGGTTCCTAGATAGGAGAAGAGACATGGTAAAGGTGCCAGGGGCAAGCTAGTTTGGGAAACACCCAAATGGAAGCAGGCACCATTTCTTCGAGGGTGAACAAAAAACAGAGTGAATAGAACCGCTTCCTTTGGGACCTGTCCTTTGGGACCTTGGCACAAGGGGAGCAAAATGGTCGCCGCTCGCAGCAACGCGCGCAAGCGAGAAGTAAGCCATGTTGTTGCTAGCGCTGGCTGGTGAAGGTCCCCCCAAGACAAGCAGGCTACGCTGGCAAGAGGGGAAGGCGGCAAGAGACAAAGTGTCCAACCTGCGTCAAAATCTGTGCGCATCCAGGATTGTGGTCCCCTCGTTCCTAAAGGCCAAAGAAACCAACCAATGAAGCAACCACTTCAGCCACTCACTTCAGCCCTTTCAGCATGAAGCCCATGGCCTTCCGTTTCCACTTCCGGCTTCCTTGCTACAAAAAGCCGAGGGCGGCTGCCTAAGTTCCTCGGCTTTGACACGTTTTCCGCCGGTTCCTCGAATGGGCTTACCCCGCGAAGCTGCTCTTCTCAAGCACGGAGCAAAAAGAACGGAAGAAGAGACAAGACTAGGTCCTCCAGCAGAGAGGTTAAAATCAGGGTACCCTATTTTTTTCTGTAGTCTATTTTAGTCGGGGAACCCTCCTCCAGAAAAGGGTAAAAGGCACTACTGAGGGACCTAGACGAGGTAGGTTTCCCAACAAACAAGTGCGAGGGCGCAGCATTCGAAGCAACCCCGCTATCGCCGCCTGCTTGGACCTTCGCGCCGAACTGCTGGATCCATTTGCCAACCTTCGGCGGGCAATTCGACGGAATCTGGACCATCGAAAAAGGGAAACCACGGAGTACGGAGTTGGTCTCGAAATACGAAGGTGTGTGTCTCAAAATGGAGACCCCCCCCCAACAAAAATACAAAAGAACAACAAAACAAGAATGTTCTGGTGTCCCTTTCAAACCAACCCCCATAAGAGCGGCTGAGCCTCGACTAAATGAAAGCAAAATGCTGGGATACGCCAAACTCAAGAGTTAAGCCCACTGGAGAAGAAAGACTTGGCAATCAAAAACCACATGTTTGACATAGACTTTGTATGTCGACGAGCATATGAGCTCCCACCTAGGGCTGGAAAGCACAAAGGTAGAGATGTGTGTTCGTTCAGCCTTGTTCTTAAAACCTACATCCGGCCCAAGGAGCACTCAGGAAAATCGTTCATCTCTACTGCAAGTGCACGACAACGGGGGGCAGTGAGCAAGTGCAGGTCTGCAAGTTCCACTCCGATACCACCAAAAGAAGCTCATGTAGCCCCGGAGCCAGAAAACTGAACTGGCCCTTTGCGCCCATTTGAGAAGGAACCGGATGCAAAACTTCTCCCTCTTTCTCGCCCCTAACAAAAACACCGGGAACAAGAAGAACGGAAACTAAAAAACAACTCCAAAAAACAGAGCCTCACCCCAGCCCACCCCACACCTGCCCGTCCCCAAACATAACAAACAAAGCCCACGGGGGTTCCCTCCGCCACGGGTTGGACCCAAAAAATCCAAAAGCCAAAACCGCACCTGGATCAGCGCCGGCTTGATCTTGATCATTAGCGTGTGCAGGCCTTCCGAAACCTTGGACATCACCACCTCCAGCACCTGCCGAACATCCCCCACCCCGGCGTAAGGGAAACTTCAAGGAACCCTGCATCTCAGGGTAGACCTATTGTGCTCCTAAAACTTGGTTGGACTCTTTTGGTGAACATCATAATATGATTGGACACCAGATCTTTGGGCGAGTGCTCAACAGGTCGCTGTTGGCATGCTTGTTCAATTGTCCAGATGGGACATGGATGATCCACTCTGCAACGTAGGGCGGATACTGAATGAACATGGAATTCAGTCCGTGTTTTCATCCCGAACCCCAAATTGATCGTCGCAGTGCGGTGAACTCAATCCCCAGCGAGATGTAATTGGAATCATACCGGTTCGACGAGACAGTCATGAAACTCCAAATTGATCTGCATCAGCTTGGTTGATTGCCTTGGAGTTGAGAAGGAAACACTGGCACGTGTTGCAGGGTCTGAATCGCCGCAAAGCGATGACAATATTTTGTTATTGGAAATGCAAGTTTGGGGTTGTTTGAAAAGGTAAACCAAACGGAAGCCACCCATTTTGGGGTTACCCTATCTGGAGACACGCCAATTGGTCACGTCATTCCAAACGCGGCTCGAATAATTGCAATCCGTACCTTCTGGTATGCTGGGGTCTCAGATAAGCTGCAAGCTTGCGATTGTGCAGCTTTATATCCATTAATAAAAAATCGTCTAATAATGTATATATATATATATATATATTCATCCACCAACCAAAATTCAGAGCCACATGACGTCTGGAAGAGGTGTCCTTGGTGTGTGCGGAAAAAATGAGTTCAGGGCCCTCCAAGGACCAACTCCGTTGGCAGCCAGCAAAAATGAACAGAACCAATAAAAAGTCATGAACCGAGACATGTGAGGAATTCCAAATGGAACGACGTGCAAACCCTGTTTGCGTGTTTGTGAGTTTGTGTGTTTGTGTGTTTGATTGTTTGGCTGCCTGCCTGCCTGATTGCTTGCTTGCTTGTTTGACGTTCGAACAAATGCCAGCATGTCCTGTTCATAACGAGACATGACAACCGCAAACTCCACTGAAGACACCCCCGGTGGGTCAAGGCCAAAAGCCCAGCGGTTCCCATGGCGCCTGGTGGACGGCAGTGAGCACCAGCGGCACGAGGGCCTCTACGTGGGACCTGCTGGCTTTGACGCGAATGGGCGAATGGGGGGATGAGGGCGGTCTCTTGAGTTAAAAGTACGGACCCCCCCAACCCCAAATAGTGGCGCTCTTTTCGGCTTCCCTTTTAAGAATATGCAAAAACACGCTCAACAGATGCCTGAGGCCTAACAGCGAATCTGACTTGAAGTCTTCGGAGGGTATGGGGATGATACGTATCCCATCCATGCTCAGAGATCTGGATAAAGGGGATAAAGGGGAAGCATGAAGAACCCCTCGTTTGTTCAAAACTACACCGTTGACAATTCAACGGAAGGAACCCAAGAAGGGCTTCCCAGTTCCCAGTTCAAACTGAGGATCCTTGGTCTCTTGGTCCTCGGGTCTGCAGAATCTTGCGGAATTTTCATGGACACCAAGAAATGTTGACCTTGGAAAGGCATCGCCTTTTCCTCCCTCACTGCAAATGGACAGGGAACCTGAAAAACCGTGGTCTTTTGAAATATGTCCCAGGAACATGGAGCCTCTGTTTGGCTCCAAGCCTGATCCATGCAAACCCCCAATTGAAAACAACTACCAAGCCTGATAACCCTAGGTTTCCAGCTACAAAGAATGCATCAAAGCAATCCGTCGCACCATCACAGGGGTGCAAACCATCATAACATTCCTGGAAGCTAAAAGAGGGAACCTGGGCATGAAAAGATGCCCATCCCACGCTTCGATCTCCCGAAAAGCCTTTCAAAACCCACCAGTGTCCCTCTCGTCAACCTTTGGGGCTCCATTGAGGGTTTGAAAAGGGAACCCGCTGCACCGTTTTAGCAGTACCGACTCCATGCGCTCGCTCGCTCGAGCGCTCGGCTCATTCTTCCCGTGCTTCTCCTGCAGCAGCGCCAGGCCCTTCTCGGGGCCGTGCTCCTGGAAGCGGCAGAAAAAGGCCGCTACCGGCGCCGAGCCTTTCCGATCCAAGCCGAAGTTGCACCCACCTGGAAGATCACTTGGGTGGTGAAAATCAAATCACAGACCTGGAAGATCACTCGGGTGAAAATGAAACCGGGAATCGGACCGCAGGTTTTGTTGTCCTTGGCTCCATTTGCCAGGGCAACCCATTTTTGAGCACCTAGTTTGAGCCACAGCCAGGTTCCTCCAAGGCCTTTGGCATGGGAAGGCTCCGGAGATCGCTTGGTTCGGCTGCCCAGCTCGAGCTCAGCATCCCTTGCCCATTTTGGTGGGCGATGACACCAGAGCCCTCAAAATGGAGGCAGTGCTACGGGGTCTCGCCTAAACTTTGAATCCGTCAACAAAATGCCGCGCGGCTGAGACACAAACTGCCGAAGCGAACGGTGGGGAAAGGGATTTTCAAAGATTTCATCCCACATCGTAGTTGTTTGACAATGAAGCAAACAGGAATCCAGAATGAATCAGGGCTGTCATGTTCCCGCGCCTCGAAACATTGAAGATGTGCCAAAACTCGGTGCTTCATCGAATTCACTTCCGGGCCAGCGGACGGCTCCGAGCCCCTAGGCCCCGAAACCAACGGAACCGAACCTCAGAGCCGCGGAGACGCTTTCCATTCCCGGAAGCTGCTGCATTTGCCCCATGCAAAGCGGATGGCCCCATCCGGCGGCGGTGAAACCTTTGACCATAGTTGCCGTTTTTCCCCTTTTTTTTTTCCGGCGGAGCTGGGGGAGAAAAAAAAACACGGATGCACACAAAAACTTGGGGCCCCGTCCTGAGTGCATGGCTTCAGATCCCCCGTCCTGCAGCAAGGATAGCTCTGGGTGCTTTGCCACAGCCTTGGAGCTTTTTGCCAAGGCTTGCTGGCCCAACCCCGCGGCAAAAACGCCTGAAAAATGGCTGGAACTAAGACCAAATGGTTCGAACTGAAGAACGTGGCCTTACCATCCGATGTTCCCGTTGGCTTCACCTGAAACAAGGCTCCCAAAAAGGGCACCAACTCAAAAACTGCCCTCCAAGTGGCGAGGAACAGGAGAAACCTGAACAACTTGCTGGGACCATGGCAGAGTGAAGACCCTTTGAAAAAGGAGGGTCCCGAGTTCGTTGTTTGTGGATCTTGACCAACCCTATCAGGTGGTTGTAGTGGGGAGCAGACCTGGGTTTGCTCGAGATTTGGGTCCCCAACAAGGTTCTTAGAAGGGGTTCTTACAAACGGGCTCTGAGCCTGTCTGAGGCAGAGGTATTCCAATCTCTGAACAGGTGCCAAACTAGTCAGGAAGTTGTTCAGCGACTTGACCCCAGGAGGGCTGCATGAGCAAGTGATGACAAGGGATGGCCCAGCCAATCTGGCTGCGAAGCCGGCAGAACATGTGGGACTGCCGGCCCTGCAGAGTCTTCTCCCGGCCCAAACAAGATCCTTCAGGACCAAGAAAAGGCCCTTTGGCACAGGAAGCACACCTGGCCTGCCCTTGCCGAAGTGAAAGGGAGCAAGATGGGGAAGAAAAAAGAAGAAGACCACTGGCCTTCTTCGTGCGGAGAAAAATACCGACGGAGCCCTTGGCCCGAAATCGCCACTCGGTCGCCCGGGCATTGTCCGTCTCGTTGCCCACCTCGCGTTGCGGACGCAAGCGGGGCTGTTTCACGGTACCCGGTTTCAGACGCCACGAGGAGACACAGTCAATTTTCCCCCTCCCCCCCAAGAAAGAAAGAAAGAAAAAGAACCAAAAAGCATTGGACATACACCCAAGTGAACTTGGCTCAAAGGATCATTGCTCATCGCGGTTCCTTGGCTTCTCCCGACAACCAATCAGGATAGCTGCCTGCCTCTGAGAGTAGTCTTGGCCACCGATGGCTCGTTGTTCCACAAGGTGTTGTTTTACTCGTCAGCCCTGGTGTTTGAACGGACTATCTCAGAAATACATTCCTGAAAGCCCAAAAATCCAAACAACACTAAATAAGATTCCAACAAATGCGGGTCCCAACTGTGGGTTGAGACCTTGCAACAAAAAAAAGCCGAACAAATTTTGGGGCTATCCCTGAAAAACATCCGCCATCTCCGCCCAGCCGCGCCGCCGCGCGCGCGGCTGGGCGCCCCTGCCATGGAGAGCACCATCTCCAGCTGGCCCTGGGCGCCGGAGACGTGCTCCAGGCTGTCCAGCAGCATGATCGACACCTGAGCTCCGATGGGCCATGCGCCATGGGGATTGGTCGAACTGAGGTCACCCAACCCGACGCACTGACCTTTCAAGTAAGGCCAAGAAGTGTTCCCTGCAGTGAGGAAAGGGTTTGTTTGGGTGAAAGGGAAACAGTTCCCCAGTTCCTGACCTTGAGAATGGAAAGAGTCAAAGTCATGACACCAGTCCAAACGTCTCTAAACGGAGTGCTTTTTCCTATCAAACAAGGGTTTTCTTTGTCACATTTCTCCACACAACCCAAAACTGTCAAGATTTCCCGCTGCAAATTGCGTGAATTCCCAAGTAGAAACCCCAAGCGAGCGACCTTAAGGGGCGCGCTCGTTTCACGAGCCTGTACTTGTTCCCACGATGCAAGGGCCCTCCAATGGTGCCTTGAGGGAAACCAAAGGAACCTGGTCCGTTCTCCGGGTAAACGATTTGGTGTAGTTCACTGTGCTTGGACAGGCACTGGTGAGACCTCCAAATTGGCGGGTCTGAGGTTGGTTGGTTCAGAGCACAGGCCATCAATCGGGGTGAATTGGAGCAGGGTCATGTAATTCACTCAAATCAGAAGAAAAGAAACCCATATGAGATGGGGCTATCATCTTTAAATCAACAAACCAAGAAACCAGGGGTTTTAGGGGGTCCTTATCATCTTTAGAGACCTATTTGGGAACCTTCCTCGCTGCCGATCGCTTCCTGCTCAAGCAAGTCGAGGGAGCTGAGCTTCCCGCGTTGTTCATAACCACGTCGATCTCCTTGGTTCTCTCTCTCTCTCTCTCTCCCCACTCTCGTTCTGGGAGGGCCGAAATCGGTAACCCCCTGCAACACGCTGCAGTTTTGGGCTACAGGTTCAAGGACTCGCCGTCCAATGGATACTGACCCAAGTTGATGTAGCCAGCCTCTCGGACCAAATCAAGATCCAAAAGGAACCTCCCCCCAATTCCAAAAGGTTGAGGGTCCCTTGCCAGAACGGGGACCGGGGAGGGGGGGGGGTCTTTTACCACAGCACTCTCCCAACAAGAGACCAAGCAGGTTGTGGGAACTGCCCGCAACCACGTTTGTGAATGCCACTGCTAGAATAATGGATGCACCCTATGACAACTTCTGCACGGAAAGCGGCCAACGGTATCACAGAAGTGGTTGATGCATCCAACCGCATTCAACTAGTAGTGGGAGCCAAGTTGATTCATAAATCCTGCCGGGCTTGATCTGGGGCCGCCCCCTTCTAAACACTTGGGGGGTGGGGGCCGGGTACTAAGATCCGGGGTCAACATTAGGGCCTCCTTCCAGCTTCTGAGTGGGCACATCTTCTCAGGAAAAAACACACACACACACACACACACCTTTTGGAGGCTCAATGGAAAATCCCTTCGTTTCCTCGGACGACATCAGTCATGCGCCTCGGGGCCAGGGCCCGGGCCGTTTTGAGGGAAGAGGCGATCCCGTTGCCAACGTTGGACCAGCCTGGTCAGGCGCGCACTTGGGCTGAGGCCATGCAAGGAGTCACAAAGAGCCGTCGGCACTGCAAACAGTTTGTGCCTGAAGTTGCAGCTTAACATCGGATGCGCTCAAAGTGGATGGCTGTCAGATCTTGTCGTCTACCAGCAACTGTTTGCTACTGATATGTCAAAACATGTATAGAGAGAGAGGGAAAGTTTCAAAACAGCATATGCATGCATTTATAGATGTTCCCCAAAGAAGGGACACCACCAGTCCCAACATTTCGTGAAGCTCCCTTTCAATGCCCTGCCTCGCGTGGACTCACCGACTTCCTTCAGCGCGCTGGAGGTCATGGTGTTCCCATAGAGAACCAACGCCTCGGTGCGGCTGGGTGCCTTCCCACAGACCGCGGACGCTGACGCGGAAGGGCTCTGTTGGAAGCTGGTCCATTGCTAGCGCAAAGGCTCGTTGCGAGAAAATGAGAAAAAGAGCATCGACCAGTTCTGGATCAGCCATGTTACCTTGGACTCCATATGCAGTCCTGAAGGGCATGGATTTGTACTGCATGAATACGTAAATTCCCCATTTGGACGGAGCAACCTGGCTGGTCGGAAGGTCCGAGTGACGTCGCGCACTCCCGAGGCCCGGGCATTGAACACTAAAGAGCCCACCTCAGCGCGAGGAGCGCAGGTGATGGCTTTAGTACGCAAATTTTACCCGAGCACGAATGACCCAAAATCGTCCAACGTGGTCAAAGGAGTGAAAACCAACAAAAAAGAAAGACAAACAGACGGACAGAAAGCAAAAGAAACAAGGAAGGAAGGAAGGAAACAAGGAAGGAAGAAAGGAAGGGAGGAAAGAAGGAAGGAATCAGGGAAAGAAGACAAGAAGAGAATGGAAGAACGAAGGAAAAAGGAACGATGACAAACAGCAAGAAGAAAAAGGAGGAGAAGGAGAACTATAGTTTCTATGCTTTTGAAACATTCGCCCACCAGGGTCGCCGGCTCTACTGGTAAGGCAAAAACCCAGAAAGGCAGTAAGTCCCCAATGCCCGCACGTATGGCAGAATTGCACAGCTTCGATTCGTGGATAACGTGATGAAACGCATAATTGATTTGCGCAAATGACCGAACTGGAGTTTGGATTTGCACAACCCATAGGTGTTGATTTCCCATCCTTCGGAAACCGACTTCCCCTTTTGGATTTCTGCGGCTGGGCTTTGTAGGACCGGACCATCGCGTCCGCTTCTGTCACCCTTTTAAGCATCCAAAGTCTGAATTTGAGATTTTAGCCGTAAAATGGGTATTCCCGAACAATAAGTCCAGGAACTCAGGGAGTGACTTGAAGTTGGCAAGTTCTTGAAGCCACAGTGATGAAAACAATTCACCAAGCAACTGAAACCCCAAGAAAGGAACCTCCATTGCAACCGAAAGGCATCGAACGAGCCCATGAGAAGGTCAGAGCTTAGAAGAATGGAAGGAAGAACACGGATGGATAGATGAGTTCATCTAAAGATGCTATACATATATATATATATATATACATAGTAGATATTCATGTATGCATATTCAGTTCTTGGTAAGTCCTCACCAGCGATCCCCAATTCCCAAGGGTGGCACCACCAAAAAGATAGTGCACCAAGGAGTCGTCGGCGAGGTTAGGGACATCACCTGGGCATCGGCGGAAACCATTTTCCCGCGGGTTGGGGTCAGCGGTGGCTTTGCATGTGATCAAAACTCTTCGCCTTTGGCCCTGGAAGGGACATCTTTCCCAATCGCCGTCTGTCCTGTGTGCGTCTTGCGTCTGTGTCTGGGTGACTCTTTGTCTCTGTGTCTCGTGTCTGTCCATGCCATGATTGATTTCTTTGGGTGTCCCTTGAAAAAACCAGAAACACAATCCACACTCCCCCCAACTTTCAGACACGGCCAGATCCGTTGACAAATAGCGGGAGTGTCACAACAGGCAGATGCTAACAGGCAACCAGACAGACAGCCGGACAGAACAACAGCCAGCCAGACAGCCAGGCATTTCAGGCAGACAAATAGAGAGTGAAGTGCCGAAAACAAACACATCTACAAGGTGACAAGAAACTTTTAGGCAGCTTTGCAAAAAGATACCCCAGGCAAACAATTCGCCCTCCCTCTCCAGCCCGTTGCATGCCGAGCGGCGAGATATGCAGTACGGTCGTTTGGTAACAGATGGACTACCCTAAGCGGTGGTGTAGGTTCATCACCTGAGCCTAGGCCTGAGCGACAGCACTTCAAAGTGACCAGACGCCTCGACATGTTGGGAAGGAGTAAGCCATTTCTTTCAAGGACAGGGTTTCTTAGCATTCCTGAAAAGCATGGGCTTGGCACGGTCCAATTTTATGTCCAAACGAGGGCATTGCCGGAGGAAAACGAGGCGTTGGCTCAAGGAAGGCCTTCGTCGGAGAAACAAAAAAAAAAGTAAAAACAAGTAGTCACATCGGAAACCCGCAAAATGGCCATCAAAGAAACCATGGCGGGCATACAGCAAGGCTGTCATATCTTCTCAACCAACCCAAGGCTGTCCCAAAAGTCCAAAGCACGTCCCATTTCGTCCAAGGCCCCCACTTTCTCCTTGCTCGACTTGCCAACGCCCATTCCTTGAGTGAATCCCACCAACAAATCCCAACAGGCCGCAACCCCCCCCCCAAAAAAAAAAAAACTGATAAAAAGAACACCCCAAATGCAAACTGAGAAACCAACTACAACCCTAAAACCTACCCTCAACCAACCCAAAACCAACCCCAAACCATCCTGAACCTACACCCCCCAACCCCCCAAACCAACCATCGCCCCTTTTCGTCCAGCGGAACCAGGCGCGGCAGCGGCCGCGGCTCCGGCGCCTCAGGCTCCGCCAGCTCCTGACACGGCGAAATGAAACCTGGAGTCAGATGAAGCCGAGTCATGCGGCCCAAAGTCATCTGTCCAAAAATCCAAAAAAATGGGTGGTAAATATGAAAAGGCACAGTCCACATTTGCATTCTCGAATGTGACGCTGGGAAAGATGACAACAAAAGCTTGAGGACACAACCAAAACTCCGGGTGAATGATGCTGGTACCCAAAAAAATGCTCGAAAGCGCGCCAGAAACGTTGCCAAAACAAAAACCAAAACAAGGAAGAATGCGAAAAGCGAGACGGGAAAAAAAGGGCCCTACTGCCCGACCGTGCCTCGGCACGGTCGCAGCGCGTTTGCCGCAGCAGCAGCTCCTTTCAAGGAAAGCCGCGCAAACACAAGGCTTGGGCGAAAACGATTGCACCCCTGGATCCAAGGATCTTTTGCCGGCTTGAAGGGACCTGTGTTCAAACTCGGCTTCTGGACGTTTTGGGGAGTCGGGATCTAGCTATGCTCTGCCATCGTGTGAAGAAGCACTCGGGAACGCAGATTGTCCACTCAATAGGTCTTGTGGAGAACTAACAAAACACACATATGGAACACCCTTCCCACATCAAAGACTAGCACAAAAATCCTCACATTGCAAAGTACACAAACTTCGAAAATCAAGCCGAACAGAACTAAAAACAATTGTTGTGAGGACTCGTCAGGTTTTGGACACCCAAACACACCAGCCAAAGAAAGACCTGCACCTGTCGGGCCATATGCCCCAGGAAACGATTGAATGAGAACCGGATCATTTGCCAAACAAAAAACAAGCTGGAAGTTGAACCCTAGTTGAGTTCTCATCAATGTAAACACATGTATTTGTGTACACGTTCACAGCATGTAAATGTATCTGTGTACATGCCGATTTGTATAAACATATATATATATATACACACATGTTTACACAAAACACATGTATGACGTATGTGTGTGTAGAAGCTTGTATTCAAAAACCTGCTTCTCATCCTAGAAACAAAGAAGGAAATTTGATTGTTCAAGAGCACCAGGTTCTAGCCAAACTTTGCCCGCAAATGTCCCAAATCCTGCGCTCCTGCGGTAGCGGAAGATCGCTGCACGCGTCGAGAAGCTCCTCGCGAGGTCTGGGTTCCAGCTTGGAAAACCTTTAGGGGATCTACAGTTTGCTCTTTCAAGGGAAACCGGATTTCATTTTGAAGACGTAGGTCCGACTAACTTGCAAGAAATAAGCCACGGCTTGCCTCTGACAGAAACAAACCACTGATTTCTAAGCGGGACGGTGTACCAACGAATTTTGGTCGCACGCACGCTTCTTACCCTCTCCGAAAACCCTGCGGAAACTACCCTGGTTCCTGCAAAAAGGCCCTCAGCTTAAGGTGCCTGTCTGGGGCATTGGGGCAAGGAGATGGCCCAGATCAAGCAAAGCGCTGGATGTTGTCGATTGCGCGGGGGTGAAGGGTTTCAATATATTTGTCCAACGCGACAAACTATTTTGGAGCCACAAGAAAAGCCTGGTTTCTTGCTTTGTGTTCATAAAAGAAAGCCTGCGCGGGCGTAGCGGGGCTGGATGGCCCTATCCCATGTGACCCACATGATTTTTCCCGTGGTGCCTTTGTAGCGGCTACTGCAAGGGAAACCAAAAGCAAGCTCTTGCTACAGGGGTTCAATCCCAGAACCTCCAATCCAAGCCAATCTGCGTCAGCCCTTACGACAGAGCAACATGGGCCCAATCATGGCAAGAGCCTGAATCAAACACGAAAACATCCAGGTCGTTTTCCAGTCGGTACTCCAACTCTTTCTGTGAAGCAAGAAAGGAAAACCGGAAAGAAAAAAAAAACACCGGGGGGGAGGTGTTTTTTTTTACAGAGAAACGCACCAAAACAAAGCCCACCCTGGCGGCTTCTGCATCCCCTTCCTCCACGGCCTGGTACTCCGAGCTGAGCCGCGCCTGGAGCTCCGACACCTCAGCACCCCCTGCTCATTTTTTTCTCTAAGGCACCTCCCACAAATTGTCGTGCTTTTTCTCGGTCCTTTCAACACTTACTTGGCCCAAAACTTGGATGCAAAACGTTGCTATCACTGCCTCTGGTCAAGATATTGAGATGGTTAAGTCAACTAACACATGGGAGTTTGCTTGTTCAGCGGTGTGCCAGTAAGATTTGATTTAATAGCAGTTACAGGCTTAGATGTTGCTGGCGATGCAAGTGCTACACAAACAAACGCAAACACACACACACACAAGCAAACAAACACGCGCACATACACACGCAAAAAAAAAGAAACACACACACACACACACACACCCACCCACCCACCCACCCACACACACACACCAAAAAACAAAAACACACACACACACACCAAAAAAAACAAAAACCCACACACACACACCAAAAAACAAAAACACACACACACACACACACACACACACGCAAAGACACACAAGCACACGCACAAAAGAAACACACAAAAACACAAATACGCACACACACACACACACACACGCGAACACACACACACACACACACACACACACACACGAGCACACACAAAAACAGAAACGCACAAACGCCCAAACGCGCAAACACGCAATCACACAAACGCACAAACGCGCAAATGCACAAACGCGCAAACGCGCAAACGCACAAACGCGCAAAGGCACACACACACACACACAATCGCACAGACGCACAATCGCACACTCGCACAGTGGCACAAACGCACAAACCCACAAACCCACAAAAACACAAACACACAAACACACACACACAATTACAAGCAAACACGCAAAAACGTAAATAAAAAAGTTATTCCGCAAATACGTAAACACGTGAACACATAAACACGTGAACAACTAAACACGGAAACACGCACACGCGTGCGAAAACGCAAACACGCGAACACGCAAACACACAAACACACCAACACACAAACACACAAACGCACCAACACACAAACACACAAACACGCCACACAAACACACAGACAAGCAAACACAGAGACAAACACACACGCACACACACAATCAAACGAACACACACACACACAGACAGGCAAACACACACAGAGAGAGACACACACGCAAACACATACACAAACACAAACACGCAAAAAGCACACAAACACGCACACAAACACAAACCACCAACACACAAACAAAAAAACGCAAACACAACCACCGCACAAACACAAACAAACAAACAAACAAACAAACAAACAAACAAACAAACAAACAAACACACACACACACACAAACACACACACACACACACACACACACACACACACACACACACACACACACACACACACACACACACACACACACACACACACACACCGCGCGCGAGCGCCGCACACACACCCACCAACCCACCCGCCCACACCACCCACGCACGCCCGCCCGCCCACACGCCCGCCCGCACGCACGCAGGCACTCGCACCCGCACGCACCCGCACACACCCGCACACGCCCACGCGCACAGCCACGCTTACGCACACACCCGCGCCCGCGTGGGTGTAGCAAGATGAGGGGGCAAAGGAAACGAAGCGGGATGAGAGGGAAATGCAAGAAAAACAAAATATGCATTGGAAGTTACTTGGAAATGAGGGGACATTGGGTGGTGGGCTCGGAACGGTGGAAACACTTCTTTTCCCGAGGGCTTTCCAGGCGATATTTTCGAGTTGAACTTGGTGGGTGGCAGACAAGGCTATTTGCATGGAACCCCAAAAAGGGGTACCCCAAACAAGCAAGAGTTTGAGACGTCCCCAAAAAAGGGAAAACAACGCGGTTTCACGGAGCCCTCTCTCTTTTCTTCCTTCTGCGAGTAAACCCTGGGTCGATGAAAGTCGACCTGCAACAAGTCGACCGTTTGCTTAGCTTGCCGGAGGTCAGCAGAGAATGACCCAGAGTTTGGCAATGAGACTAATTCCTTAAAGGTTTCCACAAAGGATGGTTTCTAGGGGTCATTCCATTTCCCATTCCCTGCAACCAGCAAGCTAAACAGCTTAAGAACCTTTTGCCGCAAAACATGCTTCTGGGAACTGGGGAGCCCTGAAATCCCACCTCAAAACGTTGAGTCCTGGGATGGTCAAACTGGGACCGATCAGCGCAGAAAGTTCTTGGACTGCCAGTGAATCTTCGATTTCCTATCGCGCAAAAGATGAAATGAGTCGCGCAAAAGACTAAGAGAAGGGTTCCCTCTGAGACATACTCAGTGGGTGAAGCCTTTTTGGAGCAAGTTTGCCATAAAGACCATTGCCATAGAAGAGGCAATCCGAGTCATATTCCAATGAGGGCATGTTCGTAAACGTGGAAACCCCGAGATGGGTGGATTCCCGTTGCCTTCGCTTTAAACCAACTCGAAAAGGGTTCCCGCAAACAAATGACACGCGTCCACCAGGTGAAATTGAAGGACAAGCCTGAAGGCTAAGAGCCCAAAGGCGGGCCAAAGGGAATCAAGTGGACCCCTACCCGCCTCCACAATACCATGGAACCCGACAGGGGGCTGGCCCATTTTGGAGACATCGGTTCAGGTCCTTTGGGGTTGCTCAGAGCTTGCGGCCGCTGGACTCCTTGGAGTTCAAGTTGCCCGCTCTCTTTGGCTCCCCACCAGCGAGGCGTTGTGGCACAGGTCCGAGCGATGACCCCTAGGGAAAGGGAGTCAGGCAGTCGGGGAGCCAGGGAGTCAGTTCTCTCTGGGATTGAACCAAAGGAAATCAGTCAGAGGGTTCCACGCAGAAGAAAGGAAAGACCTCCAACACGGTTGTTCAAAAAACAAATGCTCGTATTCCGTGGAAGGCGGCCGCATTAGGTCTGCTAAGCACACGTTATAACCAACCCTGAAGCAAGTCTAGTTGTTTACTGCTCATCAAATCCGCTATGGACACCACGGCGAGCCCTTCTCATGTTGGGTGAATTCAATCAAGAACGCACAAAATGATAGTCTCATAGAAGGGTGCAGGTATTGAAGCACATTGCCCCTGCAAGAGAAAACCAGTCCAGCAACTTGCTTCCTCAAGCTGATGAGTCTCGCAGGGTTACTGGTGGAGTCCGCTTTGCATAGGGATGCCGCCGATGACCAGGTGTCCTTCTCCCAAATTCTGTCATCGGGCTTTCCGCAAAGAGAAAGACAAGAGGTCAGCGGTTCAGCAAACCCCTTTTACATCAGATAAATAGCTGAAAGGCTCCTCTCCCGAAAGCGGGATACCCTTTATGAAGCAGCATGCTTCCCTGGCTAACGGAAAAAAAAAAAAAAAAAAGGGAAGAAGAAAAAACACGGTGCGAACCAGGAACCATGGCCCCCCACAGCCAAGCAGCCCGTGGTGGTTGTGGCGCGCGATCTGGAACTCCGGGCTCCTGACATCCGATGCGAAGACTGACCGGCGGAGCTGAAGCCAGAAAGCAGAAGGTCAGCTTCCCACGTGGTTTGGCCAGGTTGGGAAACCTCATTCCTCTAAGCCATATTCTTGACTGGTTGCTGGTAGGATTGCTGTAGGTACCTGCTCCATGCTTCTGTTGGAACTGCTCAATCTGCTTTCTCCTTTCAAGGGTGTCACAAACGGCAAGTTTCCCAAATACCCAGGGGTTGCTACCTTCATGCGGGTGACCAACGTTGAGAAAGCCATGCTGCTTCGAGCAGACTCTCTCGGAAAATGAATGGACTCCCTCCTAAACCTGCAGGTCAACCAACTCGTGACAGTGGGCGGGCCCCGGCCTCCCTACAACCGACTTCGGTTGAAAGCCTTCACGCCACTCCAAGCCCGCCACGCGGGTCTGAGAGACCCCGATCTTGCAAGCCAAGAGAAACCGAAGACACAACCACCCCGTTTGCGAGTTCTGAGAAACCAAGGGGTACCATTCCATCTGGGTGGTTTAAAGAGAAACCAAAGGGCAATTCCATGTCTCTCTTCTTTCTTATGGGGGAGGGGTCTTCTATCTTAAACCCTTTCTGAGTGTGTGTGTTGGACTAGGACCCCGATTTGAATGGCTTCGAGCAGTTTTCCCTTTGGCCTCTCAACTCAAAACAAGCACGAGACCCCAAAAACGGGACGGTTGCTGTAGTTGCCGGCTGTTGGCTTTTGGTTCTTCATGTTCCCGCTTGCTTTTTTGTTTCACCCAGTTCATCAATTCGGGAGTGTGCTTTGGAGGGGGCGTGGCCCCCCCCCAGCTCATCAATATCTGGTGTCCCGGAATGCGCTGAACACGACCCCCTTAAAATCAACCGGTTGGTTGCAAAAACAGGGGTCTCAAAAAAGGGGTAGCCTCAAAACACAGAGACCCCTCAAACAAGACCGCTTCCGCCACCGCTCGCCACCCGCTTCCGCTCGCGCGCCTCGCGGAGAGGAACCGCGCGAGGCTGCGGAAGGCCTCTGAGCCGCCCTCCCGGAAGTGCGCCTCGCGCGATCCGCCGAGCGTCTTCGGCCCCCCCAAGTCTGGGGACGGACGGGGAGGGTCCTTCGTTGAAAGGCGGGCGCGTTTTTTGGGGTTGGAAGCGAATCCCAAGAAAACACGGTGGCGATTTTCGCCTGGGTTCAACTTTGGCTGAAAAAAGTGAGCGGAAAGCTGGTGGAGTGTTCCGGTTCGAGTTGCAAACGAGTTTTGCTGATCAACCGGGGTCCTTTCTCGAAGTTTGGCTGGTGGCATTGGGGAACAGGCAAAAGCATGAGGAAAAGCGCACCCTCCAGATTGACCTTGATGAAACAGCGTCAAAAAGAAAACGAACAAGACAAAAGATCCCCAAAACAGAATTGGAACGAGTGCCTGGTATCCGCCAGCAAAAGACAACATTTTCTGAAAGACCTTTTGGGGAAGGGAAGAGCTCTGATCGAAAGGGACCTCACTTGAGTTGCGCACGAAGTCCCCAACGCCAAAAACCACCAATGATGGTTTTGGGACCTTTCTGGTTTGGAGGTGGGGTACCTTCCCATTCGTTCAGCAGGAACTGGGCGAGTCAAACTTCAATCTAGATGATCAAACCAATCCATCAAGCACAAGATGATCACGTGCATGCCCCTCCCCCTCGACCAAAAAGAGACGACCCTGCCAGACTTCAGCCCCAAAAGCCCAGGCCATTTCCGGGGAAAAGGTTGCAAGGTCGTGCCCGTTCGCTTTAGAACCTGCCTGCCTCGACACGAGCTCCCCAAAGCGCTCGACACCCCAGCCCAGGGGCCTGGTGCACCGCGCGAAGCCTCTCCGGCAGCAGGCGGCGCAGCTGGCGGAGGTGCGGGCCGAACTGGGCCCTGAGCAGCAGCTCGGGCTCCTGGGACTCACTACGTCGATGTTTTTAGTTGTTTGGCAGGGGAACTATGGGGTTTGATAAGGTTGGGGTTCTGGGGGTGTTGCAAAAACCTGTTTTTTTTTTGTTTTTTTTTTTTAATGGGGTTCACTCATTCGGAGAAAGGTGGCTAGTTGAGAGCCCTGGATTGCTTGGGGCTCCTTCCAGGAATCCACGCCCCTGGCTCCTGAGACTCTCAAGTGGCCGAAACTATTTTGGAAGGGGTGGTGCTTGAAAACCCTGGGTTTTTTTGGGGTTATCGGGGGCCTCAGGGAATCCCCCCCCCCCACCCCGCTTGGAATACTTCGCTTTCTTACAAACTCCATGATCAAGAGGGGTCAGCAGTCAGCTTCCCTCGAATTGGTGGCTTGCAGGTGTTCTGGGGTTGGGTTCCCATTTACCCTCTGCACAATCCCCAAACCAATCCAATCCAACTAAGGCTTACCTGAATGGACATGTCTAGAAGGGGGAACCCCTTTTTGCAGCGGTTTCAAGGGGAAAGCAAAAGCATTCTTGGGGGTCCGATTCCAAAAGAACGACACACCCAATTGACTTGGGTCCGGGGAATTCTTGGGTGTTTGACGCAGAGAACCTTTTCTCTGCTAACATAGAGCTGTACTGCTTCAGCCCAGGTTGCTACGATTGAGCAATTAACCCCCGGCCCGCTTTCCATTTTGACCCAGGTTGAACCGGTTCCTCGTGTGTCCCCTTCAAAGATCACCCAACTTTCTCATGACCCCAACATCTCCAGGACAACGCCTGGATGTTTCCTGCGACTTTAAACCTGGCCAGAGTTCCTAGGGGGTCACTTGCCGCTTTGGTGAAATCCTGCGGCCATTTTGCTAAAACCATCAACCCAGACGGGTTCCGGGGAACCTTCGGTGGACTCCAGTTTGCCTTTGTATGTCCTCCAAGCATTTGGGTATTAAATAGTCAGTTTTGCCCCTGTCCTTGGGAGAGTCCAAAAAAAACCGTTGAAGCCTTTCCCCGGCTGCCGCACGCTCTTGAACCGGCCGAGAAATCGCCCCTGGATGTCAATTTGTCCGAGGGCCCAGTCCAAAGCGCAACTTCCAAGAAGGCTTATAGTGGGTAGGGATCTGGAAGCAACCAAACCCATGAGCATGCGCATTCCAAGTCCCAACTCCCGGTGGGACGAAAAACAACGACAGGTCTTTCGGCGAGGTTGATTTAGTGGCATGTCGGGAACAAAGCTGGACCGGTTGCAAAAAGTGACACACGACAATGTCAGTGAAAGGGTGCAAGTGGCAGCATGCACCAAAAACAACCAGAAAACACCCAAAAGATAAGTGGAGCATGGTTGTTTCCCAAAAGAGGGGTCCAAATCCCTGTTGAGAAGCTCCCGACAGGATTCCCTGCATTTCCTTTTTGAACACCCCACACGATGTTTATAACGGGAAGTTTGGAGGTGTGCTTTCATTGCGACCTTCCTTGTCGGAGCAGCAAAAAGAGAGCAGGAAAACCACCCGATCTTTTTGTGCGGGCTCCCTTTTGACACATGGATATGGGTCAACATTAAACCACGTTTGGGATTTGGGACCGCAGGTTTTCGTCCATGTTACCAGTTGCAGGGTTCAATTTTGGGGTGTGCCTACTTTTGACCCACACGGGGCGACCGAGTGACTCATTGTGAAAGGTTGTCTCACGGCGCTTAGGCCAACGAAACCGCAAAAAAGAAACAAAAAGGAAAAGGGAACCCCCCAAAGTTCACAAAAAAAAACAAAAAACCGCCGCCATCGCCGGGAAGCTCCCCCCCCTTTTTCCCGCCTCCAGGGCCGCTCGGGCGCTGTGGAAGCACCGGCTTCGGCGCTCGGGGCCCACGGGCAGCCGGGCCTGCGCGTTGGCCTTGCACTGGTGGAAGGCCCAGAACCTCGGCCGCGTGGAGTTTTGGTTCAGCGCCTTTTGGGGGAGACGGCCAGACCCTCTCTTGAGGCCATGTTCAAAGAGCCCTTTTCTGGGCTGTCCGTTCTCTAAACTTGACTTTGAGTGTGTGAAATGGAAAGAGCAAACTGAGAGCGAAGCTCCGGGCCTCAAAAGCCTCGTGCCTTGACCAAAGCTTTTCAGTTTCACATTTCGGAGTGATTCTTGGGTCCCGTTTGTCTGGGCAAGACTTAGAGTCTGCACAAGTTCAGCTTCTGCTTGTTGAAAGGAAAACTGAGGGAAAACCAAAGAGGCAAAAGGCTCAGCGTGGCAGTGGTTTAGGCTTGTGGCCTTACAAGTTGTCTCGAGCCAACAGCAACAAACGTGAGCCCAACACCCAAAAAGAGAAAGCAGAAATGACACTCTGATCAAAACGTGGGCAAAGGCGTCGCCCACGCCTTGTCTGCAGGATGGTGGGCAAATATCAAACACGGGGCAACGCAGAATCCCTTTGGCGAACGGAAGAGCGACATCAGCCCTTTGACACGAAGACTGCAAGCTGTTTGCAACGCCAGAATGCAATTTTGTTGCATTCCATCAGGCACATCAGCCAAGATGCAAAGGCAGGATCATGCAGCTATAGGGTGGGCTGGGTCTTGCAAAAGTTCATGCGCAAAAGGCCGGACCCTTCCGCCCTTTGCCCGTCTGCGAAAGGTCGCAAGTGGACAACGGTTTGCATCGAGGGTTCATCGCCCATAAGACTTCACAGCTTGGTGCCGCAAAGGGCGCTCTCCGCCTGAAAGGAATGGGGGCAAACACAAGCCTAAAAGTGTAGCACCCATTTCAGGAGGCCCTGCTTCTCGAAACCCGAACCAAGGCTGACTGGCCATGCAAGCAAGAGCACACGCGTACATAAGTATGTATGCACACATCCGCATATTCATATGTGTTTGTGTATCTGTACACATGTACACAACCTCGTATGCATGTATATTCATGCATACATTTAATTAGCATACACATGTGTGCATGCCTTTGTATACATACGAACATAGAGAGAGAGAGAGAGAGATCCCAAGGCCCTGGCAGCTTTTCAAACCTGGCCGGAGGCAAAGCGCCGATTGATTGAAAAATGAAACACTTTGTAACAGAGGCCTACGAGTATAAAGCTGAATGGGGGACCCTTTTTGTGAACTTTGATTCACCCCAACCGTTTGTGAGATGCAGAAAATGATAGCCACAGTCACTCTGCGGGGGGGACCTTCGGGCCGGGGTGGGAGAAACAACTCCAGGCCGCTTATTTCATAAGCTGACAAACAGCCTCCAGGGATCGCACATGAAACTCGATGAGAGCTGCTTTGTTGGAGGCGCATCGGCCATGAGTTGCGGAAAGGGAGGTCATCTTAATGACTGACGCTTCATCCAGGAGACGTGCCGTCGCATCGGAATGCCACCCATCACTTCCACAAGCCTGGCCATCTACAAATTCCACCTGACTAAGACCACAGGATATGTTCACGCTTGTTCGGATTCCAAATGGAAACTAATGGAAGGAATGCTCGCTGCAATCAAGCCCCAACCCCGTATTTGTCAGGTTTCCTCAGCAAGGAACTACACGTAAACTGCCACGGAAGCCCTGGACTTCCCTCCGGTGATTCCGAACGAGGTGGAAGTGAGAAAAAACCGAGAATCTGTTTCTTTTCCCTGGTGCTCCCTTTGGCTCACTGGAAATTCACGCTTCGCAAAGTGTGCTTGGCATCCAACTGAGCTATACTTTGTTCTGTTGAGCAAAAAAAATGCTTGGGCGGCCGGACCCCGAGGCCTGCTGAGCGGGTCACACACCACCAGGATCATTTTCAGCCTGAGTGACGTTTCCAATTCTGCGAGGTGACTCCCATTGAACCAAAGAAAGAGGCAAGGATGGGTGCTTTGAATAATGTATCCATGAATACATACATATCAAAACATATAAGTATATGTATGTATAAAGTATGTTTTACATGCGTTAGCCTGTGCAGTCCTGCATAGGAACTCCGCATCATGTTCCTTCCCTTCATAACCCTTGAACCATGCTTCGCGCTCCCCCCCCCTTCCTGGAAAAACAACTCTGGACATGTGGGTTCAGTTTCTCTTGTTCATAGGCTGCCAGTGACTTAGGGGAGGAACCATAAGTGAACAAGGATCGAAGTGGTCCAGATCTTATGGGAAATTCGCACCCTCTCGTAAGATTCAACTCTCCCATTCACAGGAACAGTAGCGGAGCGGCAGCAGCTAAAGAAAAGCAGAGCAAATGACGCCGTGGTTCGTTGAAGCAAAAACAAATGAAAGTCTGTCATTGAAGATCCGGGCGGGCCATGCTTTATTTGGCAGGCCCCGCATGTCAAAGCAATGGAATGAGGAGCAACGCTACGACTTGTCGTCGCAACTCGCATCTCAACATTATGCACCGTGGCCCTACAAGCAAAATCCATGCACATTGAATAATTAAACGCTTGTTTTTCGAAAAGAACTTGAAAGCACTGTCATATCATAAAACTAACCGAGTATCAGGACGATGCTCTGTTTTCAGCGCTACGTCTAAACCAGCTGCAAAAACTTTTCCTCAGTGACTCTTTTGCCGGGCATGAATTTAACCTCCATATTCCACTGTATGCTTTGCAATGGTACGTCTTTTACAGTTTACAAAAGTCAGAACATTTGCTTTTGGAACTTTGTTGCGCAACCAGAGCAATTTGCAATTCATTTTGTCAACTCTTCTCTGACACACGTATTCATTCTCCCTTATTACACCAGGGGTCATTTGTTTAAGTGATTTATTCTCTTCTTGCCTCGACTACTTTGGCGTCAGCGCTTTCTGGCCTCCTGTTGCCATTTTGCGTGAGTTGCTCGCGCTTATTGCTTTTTTTGCTGTACCAATCAATATGTGTGATAAGATAAACATTGTGCTCATATTACTTGTGTAGTTGAACCTTACTCTTCTTTTTGACCTACTCCTGCTGTATAGCTTCCTTATTCTAATTCAACACTCTGTTACTTCAACATGTTTATCAGAATAAATTACATTCAAGGATGTGGTTTGGAAATGGCGCGGTCCGTTGCAGTCTTTGGATTTGTCGCTAAACCGCCCACATCCACTGAGCCAACTGGCCCTGCTTCATTCGTGCTTCAAGGTCCTCTTTCTTTTGCTCCCTTCCATTATTCTTTCGTTTATGAAATCAGTGTGTGTGTGTGTGTGCGTCATGAAGATTAGCAACACCCCCCTCCGATCACGCTTCCTTAATAACTTCTGCTCTTCGGTTCAGATCTTGTTTCTTTTGAATATCTAAGGCGTCTTTATGATCAAACTGACTACCGTATTGATTCATCAATATCTTGATGCTTTTCTGTCTATTGCATCTTGATTTGACGGACGGTTCGCATCTCCTCCCGATGATTGTTTCAATCGTTCATCAAAAGCCGGTCGTACACGTCATTGAGTTTTCAATCCTTTCATCATAGTATATACTAATCTGTGACACTCTTATACATTTCTTCTACATCTTTCTTTCTTCCTGTAAGTTGTTCTGTTGTCGGAGCTTCATCTGGCGAGTGTGGGTTGTACTTCTTCCTATAACTTCGGATCTGTTGCTTTCAACGAATCATCTCTATACGTTGCTAATAAGGTTCCTTGTGATTGTTTCGCTTCTATGTGTTCCTCCAATTGTTCAAAATAATTCGTTCTCGAAGCAATGCCCCATAGATCATTACTGTCATAACACCTGTCTAGTTACGGCGCCCTTTAAGATTCAACGTATAATGTGTAATACATTTAGTACTGCGGCTTCACCTGGTTCCGGATTGCAAATGACAGCGATTAGTGGGCAACTCCATTTGGAGACGCTAATGTTGGTCGTGTGTGGGAAAAGGACGGGCTTGGTTTAGGTTCTGGCGGTCTTGCTGGACACTTATTTAAATTGCGCTGGCCCAGCAAAGTTCGTACATGGCAGGATTTTGTTTGAGGGAGACAGGACTTGCGGAACTCAGCGCGCAACCGCTTGTCACAAAACTCACACATATCACACAGAGTAGTCAGATGCCCAATCGCTTTCGAACAACTATTGTATGGAGGCAAAGCAATCTGCAGCGACGCTCTTGCTTTGACTTTGATGCTGCTTTGCCAGTATGCAAGGACTCCAGCGCTCGCCTTGAGCTGGCGCCTGGGTAGGTTTCCAACCCCCTCCCCCACAAAGCAATTAATGAAATTTCGTGCGCTGAAAGTAGTCTGCAGCCCGTGCACTTTTCTTTTGTAGCCATGGGAAGGCCAATTGCCAAACCGCATCGCTAATCTCGGCAATCTTCTCCCAGCAGCCACAGGCACTCCCAACCGGAGCCCGTGTCAAAGCTGCAGCCAGCATAGCAGCGGTCTCTCCGAGCTTGGCGAGTCCTGCGCAGTTGACGGCACATGCTCTCCCTGCACACTTCCACGCACTGCAACAACACGAGCCTGTTTGTCTTGCTCTTGCTTGCATGGCAAGCGTGGTGAAACAACCTGCTTGGTCCTGCCAGTAGTCATATGATTGTATAAAAGAATGAGCCTTCGATCGCAGGCTTCAATTGATGAGAAACTTGACTAGATAGTGACAGCCGCGAACAATGAGGATATTGAAGGGAAGGAAAATGAGGCGGAGTGCGCATGCAAGAATTATACATATATATATATATATGCGTACATACATGTGTTTGTATTAGACATGTGGGCAAAAATGGCATAGACGGGCTGTTAGCGAGCTGCTTCATCTTCGACTTGGGCTACATCAACGTCTCAACCCTGCGGTGGCTGAGGGCAACTACAGGACACCAACCATTTAGGAAGGTGAACCCAGTATGATGACAGCGCAGGCTGCAAAACGGTGTGTCCTCCGAAAATCCAATGGCAGGGCAGCACCTAGCCCCTATGGAGTCTACCCAAAATCACGTAGGGAGTGCCAGGGTCAGAATGCTGCGCCTATTCATGGTGTATTGTCCAAAGCCAAGGCTTAAAAGCTCTGCATCTATAACCCAACCTTCAAGTTTCTGAATCGTATCCTGTTCGTCGCCCCCAACCAAACCCATCCAACCCAGCCACCCAAACAAACCTAGCCCTCAACAAAAGAAAGAAGAAGAAAGAAATCAAAGAAATGAAAGAAGCCCCACCCCCCCACCCCACACACACACACACGCACGCACCCACACAGACACACACCCACACAGACACAGACAGAGACACAGACAGAGACACAGACACAGACAGAGACACCGACACAGACACAGACACAGACACAGACACAGACACATACACAGACACAGACACAGACACACACACACACACACACACACACACACACACACACACACACACACACACACACACACACACACACACACACACACACACACACACACACACACACACACACACACACACACACACACACACACACACACACACACACACACACACACACACACACACACACACACACACACACACACACACACACACACACACACACACACACACACACACACACACACACACACACACACACACACACACACACACACACACACACACACACACACACACACACACACACACACACACACACACACACACACACACACACACACACACACACACACACACACACACACACACACACACACACACACACACACACACACACACACACACACACACACACACACACACACACACACACACACACACACACACACACACACACACACACACACACACACACACACACACACACACACACACACACACACACACACACACACACACACACACACACACACACACACACACACACACACACACACACACACACACACACACACACACACACACACACACACACACACACAAACACACACACACACACACACACACACACACACACACACACACACACACACACACACACACACACACACACACACACACACACACACACACACACACACACACACACACACACACACACACACACACACACACACACACACACACACACACACACACACACACACACACACACACACACACACACACACACACACACACACACACACACACACACACACACACACACACACACACACACACACACACACACACACACACACACACACACACACACACACACACACACACACACACACACACACACACACACACACACACACACACACACTTGAACTCCAGATGGAGAGTGCTAATCTTTCGAGTACAACTGATGAGTTTCGAGTACAACTGATGAGTCTCGAGTACAACTGGGGACAAACCCCATCGGCTTGCGGTCACATGGCTTCCCTGTAGTTACTTGAACAGGGCACACAAAGCAACGGCGGTTCCGGGAGGGGACCAAAAGGACCTTCAGAAACATCACTTCACAAAGCAGGTACACGCGGATGATCAGTCCGCGCTTCCCCCATGGTGGTTAGCTTCGTTGGCACAGGTCTCCACCATGGGCCTGTGCCCCCTGCTGAAAAACCGAAAGGGTGGTGACAGGGCATTCTGTCACTCCGCACACACACGCCCCTCAATGAGGGGCGAGGATTCTCCTTTTCTGCAGGAAGATCACACGCTCAACCTCGTGTCCCTATCGTTGACCAAAAAATCCACCGCGGCGAGGGGAACGAGAAACAGCCCTAAACCGCTCAGAAGACGGGAACGAGAGATCACCACGTTGAGCATTACGAGTGTCGCCATAGAAGACTGAAGCGAGTTGTGAAGCAGCCTGGCGATCACCATGAGAAAACGGGGTGGCGAACGTCTCCTCAACTGGAATGGCATTGGAGTTCCGAACTTGACCA